AGAACAAGCATTCTGGATCCACTGAACACCTGAGCAAAAGCAGATATTTTACATACCAGCCGGCAAACAGAAATCTGAACTTGCTTTCCGACAATAACAAACAAACACATACGAGCATGCACATGTACTCACACATGCGCACACATACACACACACACACACACACACACACACACACACACACACCTTGACCTTGGCATACGGCTGCCGTTAAACGGCTAAGCCCCCCCACACACACACGCACGTACACACACATGTACACAGCGTAAAGCAATGCCGTACCAATTTGACAGCCAGCATTCCACAGAGGAATAGGGTTGTAGTTGCTGGATGAGATGCGAGAGCCGGCTGGGTAAATACGACTCAGTTGTCGGCTGTTGTAGCGAAGGAACTTCTTCACAAAGCGCCGCTGTGCACAAGACATTGCTTTCTTCTCACCAAACGATGACATGTGGAAATATTTGCCTGTGCATGGCAGTGAGCGACAATAAGCAAACAGCAGCAACAACAGCAGCAGAAGCAGAATCAGTAGCAGCAGTAACAACAAGCAATCAGAGAGACAATAAACAAACAAACAGCAGCAGCAAACAATATCGACGGTGATGAGCAATTCAGTATTGAGAAAGATCTATTGTCACACGATGGCTTTGCCAGATTGAAGCGAGGAACAATGCCAGCGTGTCTGATGAGTTTGAGGCAAAAAAACGCATCGACGTGCATCCGCTGTTAGCTTGGGAAGCGGCATTTATCATCCAGGACTATTTTAAACGGCAGACAGTTCTGTTCTGTCCTTATCTGTTATATCAGGCAGTATATAATGTTACTGGTAAGTGAGATTCTCATTTGCTCAAGTTGCATGCACATGGTACCTGTGTATGTTCAGTATGACTACCGGTATTTGCTCATGTCTTCAGCACAGTAAAACCTGCCCAAACTGGGCGCCCTTGGCGCAGCGGAAACTGTCCTAATATAACAGGATTCCGTTTGATCCAGGGACGCACGTTCAATCCACAGCACCTTGCTGCATGAAAATTTGTCCGGTCAATACCGGAAAACAGGATTGCGCTTGGTTCAGGGTCTGACAAACACAGGTGTTACTGTAAATGTTTTTAACATCAGATAAAGACTAGCGACGTGGCTAGTTCTGGTGAGTTTCTAACGCCTGGCACTTACCACTCGCCAGACTCTCCTCGAACCCCTTGAAGCTGACAGCTTGAACGTAGGTCACTAGCCGAGACAGCTCCTTGGCTAGCAGAAGCTTGTGCGTCTTTTCCTTCGACTTCCATGCATCTGCCGAGTCTGGGTCGAAGGTTGAGTCAATGTCCTCGATCACATCACCCTGAAGTGGCAACACGGTACCCATGGTACCGCATACAGGAACAGCATACTGTAAAACCGGAAAATGTCGGCGGGGATTCATTTTCGGTATTAAACTTCGGCACAGGTAAATTTTACCTAAAATAGAACGCGACCTAAAATTCAACTATGCCATGCCACAGACACAGTGTGCAAAATGCATTTTCGGATCTGGAAAACTGGTTTAGCGAAATTTTCGAGCTACCGAACCGTTGATTTTGGGGAAATACCGAAAATATTACACCACCGAAAATTCCTAGTTTGACAGTAGTGCATAGCCAGCATTAAGTTCATACACTGTTGTTATCGTATCTGTGTGAGTAGTATAACGATGGAAAGGGAAATCCAACCTCATGCATGGGAAAGTCCCCAGGCTGCATACATACTGTAAAAGCAGAAATTTTCGGTGGTGTTTTATTTTCGGTAACTTCGCGTGCCGACAATTTTTACCGAAAATAAAACGCACCGAAAATTTCGGTACCACCGGTACTGTATACACAGTGTTCTTGTACTACATTGTAGTACAAGAACACTTACCTGGAAAACGGGTTTTACCGAAAATTTCCCTCCACCGAACCGACGATTTGGAGAGTACCGAAAATATTACACCACCGAAAATTTCTGCTTTTACAGTAGCCTAAGTACAATGGATTTCCAACACTGGGCTGTGCAGTGACCTGCTTCCAACACTGGGCTGTGCAGTGACCTGCTTCCAACACTGGGCTGTGCAGTGACCTGCTCCACTGGGCTGTGCAGTGACCTGCTCCACTGGGCTGTGCAGTGACCTGCTCCACTCATGGCGTTGGATTTCATTTTCCCACCACGGCAATAACATGCGATAATACGTACGATCAAGTAACAAGTATGAAAGGAGATATTGTAGAGACTAGAAGCAGCCCATCTTCCTAACGGGGGTACTCATGCCAGTGCTTTTCTCTCCTGCCCTCTGCCACAAAATGCAGCATCGTACACTTATGTGAACAATTTTAATCCCTGGATAGCTTGCCATTTCGACCTTGCTAGGTCTCATCAGCGCAGGTCAAAGAGAGTCAGAATGCCCGGATTACAAACACACACACACACACACACACACACACACACACACACACACATACACACACACACACAAACACAAACACACACTCTCTCACACACACAGAGCAATATGTACACTGCATGGCACATTCATGCATATCTGAACATGTACCTCTGGTGATGGCGTTCGCCGTGTGGTCGAAGAGCTTCGGCTATCAAAGCCGCCTCCCGCGTTCTTGTTATCCAGGCCTGCGGATGACTTCTACCCAAACAAGACAGAAGTAACACACACAGAGAAGACAGCTGAAGAGCACTACTCATCAAACACGGTGTGCGGGTCATGGATAGCAGACAGCATAGCATGCAGAAGTGATCACAGTGGGTCTGCGGTATACTATGTCTCCCATGATGACCTACATTACTTATACTCCTGATAGTGTACAGAGAATCAAAACATGTATGCCCACATATCATGTCAGGCACTTATTTGCTTCACGAAAATCCTACAAACAAAACTGCTCTTTTCTTTGACCAAATCAGCCTTCCAAGTAAGGTGGAACAGGATTTTTATTGCAACTCAGAGTTCCACGCTTGCGCCATCATCAGGCAAAAATATTCTGGCATGAAACGGTGAACAGGTCTTGTTATATGCACAGGAAAGTAAAGTGAAGAATCATTGCGCGAGGAATACAGAATGCAGAGAGGACTTGACCTACATGTGCAGTAAAACCTGCAACTAAAGACCATCCCTTGGGGCTAGAGAAAGCGGTCTTTAGTGACAGGTGATCCTTAGTTAGAGGTTTGCACTGCACAACCATAATGAATGTGAGACCGTTTGTGCCTGGCGAAGTGGTCTGTAGTACCAGGCTAGTCGCTAGTCACGGTGGTCTGTAGTACCAGGCTAGTCGCTAGTCACGGTGGTCTGTAGTACCAGGCTGGTCGCTAGTCACGGTGGTCTGTAGTACCAGGCTGGTCGCTAGTCACGGTGGTCTGTAGTACCAGGCTGGTCGCTAGTCACGGTGGTCTTTAGTACCAGGCTGGTCGCTAGTCACGGTGGTCTGTAGTACCAGGCTGGTCGCTAGTCACGGTGGTCTGTAGTACCAGGCTGGTCGCTAGTCACGGTGGTCTGTAGTACCAGGCTAGTCGCTAGTCACGGTGGTCTTTAGTACCAGGCTGGTCGCTAGTCACGGTGGTCTGTAGTACCAGGCTGGTCGCTAGTCACGGTGGTCTGTAGTACCAGGCTGGTCGCTAGTCACGGTGGTCTGTAGTACCAGGCTGGTCGCTAGTCACGGTGGTCTGTAGTACCAGGCTGGTCGCTAGTCACGGTGGTCTGTAGTACCAGGCTGGTCGCTAGTCACGGTGGTCTGTAGTACCAGGCTGGTCGCTAGTCACGGTGGTCTGTAGTAGCAGGCTAGTCGCTAGTCACGGTGGTCTGTAGTACCAGGCTAGTCGCTAGTCACGGTGGTCTTTAGTACCAGGCTGGTCGCTAGTCACGGTGGTCTGTAGTACCAGGCTGGTCGCTAGTCACGGTGGTCTGTAGTACCAGGCTAGTCGCTAGTCACGGTGGTCTTTAGTACCAGGCTGGTCGCTAGTCACGGTGGTCTGTAGTACCAGGCTGGTCGCTAGTCACGGTGGTCTGTAGTACCAGGCTGGTCGCTAGTCACGGTGGTCTGTAGTACCAGGCTGGTCGCTAGTCACGGTGGTCTGTAGTACCAGGCTGGTCGCTAGTCACGGTGGTCTGTAGTAGCAGGCTAGTCGCTAGTCACGGTGGTCTGTAGTACCAGGCTAGTCGCTAGTCACGGTGGTCTTTAGTACCAGGCTGGTCGCTAGTCACGGTGGTCTGTAGTACCAGGCTGGTCGCTAGTCACGGTGGTCTGTAGTACCAGGCTGGTCGCTAGTCACGGTGGTCTGTAGTACCAGGCTGGTCGCTAGTCACGGTGGTCTGTAGTAGCAGGCTAGTCGCTAGTCACGGTGGTCTGTAGTACCAGGCTAGTCGCTAGTCACGGTGGTCTTTAGTACCAGGCTGGTCGCTAGTCACGGTGGTCTGTAGTACCAGGCTGGTCGCTAGTCACGGTGGTCTGTAGTACCAGGCTGGTCGCTAGTCACGGTGGTCTGTAGTACCAGGCTGGTCGCCAGTCACGGTGGTCTGTAGTACCAGGCTGGTCGCCAGTCACGGTGGTCTGTAGTACCAGGCTGGTCGCCAGTCACGGTGGTCTGTAGTACCAGGCTGGTCGCCAGTCACGGTGGTCTGTAGTTACAGGTTTTACTGTACTTTGTAAATCAGCCTTATAGACATTCAGACTACTGTATGTAAACAAGCATTTCGGAGACAGCAGTTTTAATGTAGCAACAAGGACGACTAATTGCACCGTAAGCATTTCCTAAATGTCGACATGTACACGTATGAGTAGAGTGTGAAACGATGATCGCAAGGCACACAATGAAAAGGAAAGAGAGGATTTGTTCAGAACTGTTTTCTTGTTACATTCATCAGTGAATCTACTCTCTTTCCTTTTCGTTGTGTGCCTTGCGATCATCGTTTCACATTTTACTCATACATGTGGACATTTAGGAAATGCTTACGGTGCAATCAGTCGTCATTGTTGCTATTAAAATTACTATAAGTCTACACATTTTTGGCGCGTTTAAATTTCGGCCTCCCAAACACATTTCGGCCGCATTAAAAGGCCAGCCTGTACTGCTGACCTAAATTCAACCATGCCATGCCACAGACACAGTGTGCAAAATGCATTTCTGGATCTGGAAAAATGGTTTACCGAAAGTTTCGCGCTACCGAACCGTTGATTTTGGGAAATACCGAAAATATTACACCACCGAAAGTTCCCGGTTTTAATACAGTACTCAGTCTTACCTGTCTCTTGTTGGCTTTGATTTCACCAGACATCTCCTCACCCTCGTCCTCATCGCTCACCCAACCTTCCTCATTCTCCTCGTTCTCCTCTTCCGCCGCAGCACTCAGCTTCTTGTTCTAATCATATGATTGCACAGATGTGCGCACATACACACAGACACAGACACACACACACAGACACATACACATGTGCGCATACACAGACAAACAGACACACACACAGACACACATACAGACACACACACGTGGACATACATATCATACATTAGTACCATAGCTATTGCACCTAGGGTATAAATACCACGCAAACAAAGGAAGTGGCCGTTCACCTGCCATGCTAGAATTGTCTTTATCCCCTGAGCAAGAAGAACATGCATCGACAAAGTTTGCGGGTTCATCCTCAAACCTCCTTTCTGTTGCCAATGAATGGTGGAGTAACAGCAATTGTATGATTTATGTGTCTGTTTTCACTACAATCATTCTCTAGTTCTGTAGGTCATGTATGGTATCACTCATGCGTGAAATCATGTGATCATCAACCCTGTTTTTCCCGGGCTTGTGCTCCTGTGCACGAGACGTATGCTTCAGATGTATGGCCTTTTTCCCGCTGCACGGCATCTCACGTGCAGAGTTTTTCCGCGTGCAGTGCTCTAGCAGCTTTGGTTTTGTTGTTTTGCTTTCTCCTTGTCTTGAAAAGAGTTCATGGTGAACAGTGGTTGAATCCAATTCTAAGTTTCTTCTCAGTTTTAGCAGTGTCTTATGTTTGATATTCTTAGTGCATACAGTCTTCCAGAGAAAGAAAACAAACATACTGGTCCTTCGAGCCGGATCTTCAGCATGGACGAGCAGAGTGCCATACCTGGACAGCGAGTCAGTTCAAGATCAACGAAGGGCAAGCTGCCCAAGCGATTTATTTCCTCCGACGCAGACGTCGGAAACCTAACACAGCGAAGACATGATGAGAGAGGTGTAAGGACTAGTGCATCCGAAAGAAGAATAGCCAAGGAAGTCGAGAGACTACAGGCGGAGTTGGACAAGGAAGCAGAAGTGGAAAAGTTGCGACAAGAGTCGATCGCCATCCAACTCGATCTAATGAAGAAGGCAAGCACGGTGGAGAGGGCGAAGTCTGAGTTTCGTCGCCGCTCTTCCGCATCTGCTTACAGTGAGAACAGCAGCGAAGATAGAAGTGTCTACTCACCTTCCGATTTGGACCGACCAGTGGTCGGCACAGGACGTGGGTCTACACCACAGTCAGCTGATGGACTGGTCGAACCGACAGCCACAGTTACAGACGCAGCGTATGCGTCGGGTGATGTTGAGGCAAACCCGGTGGAGATGGTGCTTGGGCAATCGCCAATAGTGCCACCCAGTGTTACTGGTTCAGCAAGTTCAGATGCTGATGACGACGAAACAGAGGTGGATAGTTGCAGCTCCGACTACAGCAGAAGGCTGCCTCTGTGGTATGTTAGAGAACTAAGGAACAGAAAGTCGAACTCAGAACTGGCAGGGGACCAGCAGCAGCAGCAGCAACAACATGTCAGCAGATCCACACAGCAGTTTGTTGTCAGGAATCCAGGCAGACTACAGCCAACAACTACCCTGTCAAGGGCAGTAAGGACACCAGCACACCCAGTGAGCAGCAGACCAGTGCCAGCAGTGGATGCTGCTGTTCCGTCACCACCTGCTACTATCAGTGCAGTAGGCAGTAGCACCACCAGTGGAGCATCAGCAACTAGGCCGCATGGTGTGGACGGTCTCAGCGCACAGCGCGCCGTAGCCGCATCCAGTGCAGCGCCAACTCAACGCTCTGGCTTCGTGAGCCAGGCGTTCGCACCAATGACAGCACTTACAGCAGCCGCCCCTCCGTTTGTGCCGAAGCCCAGCGTGACGGTGCACGGAGCAGCTACCAGTAGTCAGCCGACAATCTCGCGTGAGGTCAGACCCGGCCTGACATACACCAGCACACCGGCGTATCCATATCAGCCTATGCCTGTACCACAGTACATGGTTTCAACAGCAGCACCCCAGTACCCGAGTAGCCAAGCACAAGCAGTGCCAGCCCACCAAATCGGACAGCATCAGGGTGCCCCGACAGTGACGCCGGCCTACCGCCCGAGTGGCCACCTCAAGGCACTGAAGCTGCCCATGTTTGATGGCAATGAAGACAATTACGTGAGATGGCGGCAGAAATTCACGGGACTGGTCGGCGCAGATCCGAATGTCACAGAATACTACAAGATGGCACGCCTGAGGGAGGCTCTCGCGGGTGGCTGTGCTGAGGAGCTGATAGAAGACGTCATGGACGGGCCGGGGGCCTATCAGGCAGCCATGCAGGAGATCGAGGCCTGGTATGGTGGTGAGGATCGTCAGATCGAGCGGCACGAGCAGGAAATCATTACGTGGCCGAAGATCACTACCATGAAGGACACTGAGAAGATAAAGAAGTTCGCATTGAAGCTGCGGAGTGTCCTGGTGAACATGAGGTCATGTGGTATAACCCCTGGCCGAGAGCTCTATCTCGCTGCAACGGAGAAAGTCCCGTCGTCAATGCTGCTCAAGTACTTTGAGAAGTATGATGACCAGAAATGCGATGTACAATCATTCGCGGACTGGCTGCTTCACGTCGTGCACATGATGCGGAAGGTGGACGAGCGCCAGCGCAACAGCTACAAGAGCCAAGCAGTGTCATCCAGCAGCAGTTCGGACAAGCGCCAGGCTGCTGCAGAAAGACAATCCGCTTGTGGCAGTCAGAGGACCAAATTGTCAGAGCGCCGTCAACACTACACCCTGACAACAGCCGCCGAGAGCAGCGAGCGGAAGTCAGCCGGTACTCCGAAGAGCTGCATCAAGTGCGGTAAGCAGCATCAACTTGCAGACTGCCATGAGTTCGCGAAGATGTCAGTTGCTGAACGCTGGAGCTTCGTGAAGCCCCTCAACATCTGCATCTGTTGCCTGAGACCGGCTAAGCATCGATCGGCAGAGTGTCGCAACAAGCCCTGCGACATGTGTGGGCGGAAGCACCACAGAATGTTACACTCGGAGAGAAAGCCCAGCGAACAGGCGCCGGTAGTTAAGGCACAAACCGCCGAAGGTGACAAAGCGGGTGCACATTCGTCTGCTGCCGTCAATGTCGGAGCCAGCTGCTTCGCGAGTGACAGTCTCTCCCAGTCTCAGCACGTATCGTTCATGACAGTGCCGGTGACAGTGAAGAATGGTCCTCACGTCGTCGAGGCTACCGCACTGCTAGATTCGGCATCATCCGTCAGCTTCATCAGAGAAGACCTGGCCAAGCAGCTGAGTTACAGCGGAGATGTCGAAACACTGACGACTACCGTACTAGGTGGCAAGACCATCCGAGGTGACCGTGAGAGAGTAGCGGTTACTATCACCCGACAGGGAGGCGACGAAGAGTCTGCATTCTCTGCCTTCGTCCTTCCAACAGTGACTGGTGCCATCAAGCCTGTCGACTGGAACGCGCAGAAACAGAACTGGACGCACCTGAGCGACATCAGGTTCCCAAGGCACCAGCAGCATGCTCAGGTGGACATCCTCATTGGACTCAATGCGGCACAGCTTCACACGTCCCTGGAGGAACGGCATGGCAAGCCTGGTGACCCGCTAGCTCGGTTGACACCACTCGGGTGGGTGTGTTACGGCGCAACTGACAACTCCTATGACCAGCCCGAGATGACATGTGTTGGTGCATCTCTCGTCGGGTCTACGCAGGACCTGAGACTAGATGAACTTGTCAACAGCTTCTGGGAGTTGGAGAAGGTCGGCATGGGTGAGACATACTCAACACCTGATGAGCAACGGGCAGAACAGCTAGTGACCGAGTCGATTCAACACGATGGATCGCGTTTTGAGATGGGCATCCCGTGGAGTGCGACGAGCGGGATTCCGAGCCTCGAGTCCAACGCAAAGCAGGCTGAGCAGCGGCTTCAGTCGTTGGAGCGCTCGCTCGCCAAACGACCGGCTGTGTACGAGGCATACCGGAACGTGCTGTCAACCTACATGACGAAGCACTACATCGAAGAAGTTGAGCCCACCACAGCGGCAGAGGACGGAAGTGATCAATGGTATCTTCCCCACTTCCCAGTCGTGAGGAATGATCGCGTGACCACCAAGGTGAGAGTCGTCTTCGATGCGTCCGTCAACTGGGGAGGTACGTCTATGAACGAGGAGATGTATGCTGGCAGAAAGACACAGAACAATATTGTTCACGTCCTGCTTCGCTTCTGCCTGGAGCCGGTGGCCCTGGTCGGCGATATATCAGAGATGTTTCTGCAGATCCAGCTACGTCAACAAGACCGCAAGTACCACCGCTTCTTGTGGCGGCACGACCCGCAGCACGAGCCGAAGGTGTACCAGTTCAACCGCATCGTCTTTGGTGTAAAAGCGTCACCGTACCTGGCGGGTAGAGCTCTCGAGGAGACCTCCAACAAGTTTGGCCATCTCTACTCAGCTGACGTATCGGCCGCGGTCCACGATGACACTTACGTAGATGACCTACTCCATTCGTGTGCTGATGATGACACAGCCAAGCGTGTGCGCCTCGAGGTGAAGTCACTACTCCATGATGGTGGATTCAACATCCGCAAGTGGCTGTCCAATTCTGCAGCAGTAATGGCCGATGTTCCAGAGGAGGATCGTGCGCCAGGAGCTGTTGCCGAGGTGGGTGATCACAGTCACAGCACGCTGCCATCCACGAAGACTCTAGGTGTCACCTGGAATGCTGAGTCCGACAAGTTCCTCTTCGTCTTCTCCGGCTGCGCAGCTGAGCAGATGACCAAGAGGACAGTCCTGAAGGAGGTGGTTCCAACGTTGAACGTCCGGCAGAAGTGGCAGCAGAAGAAACGCAACATCAAGGTGGGCGATGTCGTCATCTGTGTTGACGCACACACCCCTAGAAGTACCTGGCCACTCGGTCGAGTGGTTGCTGTATACCCGGCTGAGGACGGTTGTGTACGCGTAGTGGACGTCAAGATCCGCAAGCGGGTGTACCGACGTGCTATCAATGTCCTGATTCCACTCGAGAGTGAGCAGTGAACTGTTAGCAGTAGTGAACAGTTTCGCTCCGTGTGAACTGCTAGCAGCAACGAACAGTATTGTACAGCAAAGTGACATGTTCTTAAGGAACATTGATATGGTCATGCACCCGACTTGGAGATCATTATCTGCTGTTTTTCTCATCATCTTAAAATTCAAAATTGTTCTTAGGTGACAGTCCAATTCTCCGGCGTTGGCCGTTCCACTCAAGTTTGGTGCAGCGTTCAATCCATGCTATACATGTAGTGTGATCTCTTCTGTTTACGTTAGCTTGCTCTCATCCGTCAACCATAGTTCTGCCTTATTCGAGCAAAGAGGGGAGAAATGTATGATTTATGTGTCTGTTTTCACTACAATCATTCTCTAGTTCTGTAGGTCATGTATGGTATCACTCATGCGTGAAATCATGTGATCATCAACCCTGTTTTTCCCGGGCTTGTGCTCCTGTGCACGAGACGTATGCTTCAGATGTATGGCCTTTTTCCCGCTGCACGGCATCTCACGTGCAGAGTTTTTCCGCGTGCAGTGCTCTAGCAGCTTTGGTTTTGTTGTTTTGCTTTCTCCTTGTCTTGAAAAGAGTTCATGGTGAACAGTGGTTGAATCCAATTCTAAGTTTCTTCTCAGTTTTAGCAGTGTCTTATGTTTGATATTCTTAGTGCATACAGTCTTCCAGAGAAAGAAAACAAACAGCAATAGTGACCAGACGGCAAAGTTGGCAGTGAAATGCTGAACGAGCAGAGCATTGGAATGCCAAAACAGCATAAATTATATACCGTAAAGTCGCGGATAAAAGCCGGGTTTGCATACAAGCACATCGCGGATAGAAGCCTGGAAATCGAACGGGTCAATGCATATAAGCCTGTCGCGCGTAGAAGCCTGGCTTCTATGCAAGCACGGATCGGGTAGGTCAAGAGTGCATGCGCTATGTACAGTGCATAGTAAAACTGCCGCCATACCGGTAGTCAGTGGTAAATCTACGCGTGTCGCGCGTAGAAGCCTGGCTTCTATGCAAGCCCGGATCGGCCGATGTGCATACAAGCCTGGCAAAAATATCAGTGGTGCATATAAGCATGGTTTGCATACAAGCCTGGTTTGCATTGAAGCCTGATGCAGGAAGCGGCTTATGTGCTTATAAGCCCGGCTTTTATCCGCGACTTTACGGTACTTGTAGTTAACTACACATGTACCATGTACCATGTACACATTCACACACACACACACACACACGCACGCACACACACGCACACACACACACACACACACACACACACACACGCACGCACACACACGCACACACACACACACACACACACACACACACACACACGCACGCACGCACGCACGCACACACACACACACGCACACACGCACACACACACACACGCACACACACACACACACACACACACACACACACACACACACACACAAGTGGTTTACATGACGATTGTACAAGTACACAGAATGACCTACAAACTACTGTATATAGACTAGTAAGTCGAAATTCGTTACCTTCACTAGTACTTTCCCCTTCAGCTCCTCCGGTGACGGTAAATGCTCCTTGTCTTGGTCAGGTTTTTCTACTTCCAGCCTGTCACCAAATATTTCCTGCATGATGGACGCCATTGTTGCCTGTTGTTCAAGTGAGCAGTGGTTCTCTATTGACAAGATGACTGGGTATCTGAAACAGCAAACAGCAAACAGAGAACCAGGGGATGGCCAGTTTATACTGTAAGTAAACAAATATTCGGCGCATATTCATTTTCGGCTTTTTTCGGCCTGGTCAGGTTAGGCCGAAAATTTGTTGCGGCCGAAATTTTGTTTTGCAAGGTTCAGTGTGACAGTGTATACAGGCGGCAGCGGTACAGGCCGAAAATTTGAAGCGGCCGAAATGGGTTTTATCCCCGGGAGGCCGAAATGGGTTTTAGCCGTGGGAGGCCGAAATTTGAACGGGCCGAAAATTTGTAGACTTACAGTATCCCAAACATGACATCACACACAACAGACATGACATCACACACAACAGACATGACATCATGCACAACAGACATGCAAGAGCAGATCACCTTCTAACTGTCACAACGAGAGGGCAACACTACACAAGTCACTATTAAACACAAAAGGTACAACGGAGGTTTTACGGAGTGTGTCACAACTCAGAGTGTTTTGCCCAATGCAATCACAAGTCGCCTGATGACAAGTCGCCTGATGACAAGTCGCCTGATGGTTGAATTGTGCAAGAAACTCGGAGTTGCGACATGCCCTGTAAACCTCTGTTGTGCCTTTTGTATGGAATAGTGCTCCACGTCATTGTGCTGAGCCCTCTCCGTTGGCTAAAGGGAACCTCTTTACAAGTCACTGTACAAGTCATGTATGGCACTCACTCTGATGTCTGAAAGCCGTAGAGGTTGATGGCGCGGATGACATCGGCGAATCGGATCTTCGACGTCAGCGTGTGCCCGTGATAGATGATAGGATTGCCCTCTGGTCCGTCCCAGCAGTCCACTGAAAACAAACACAAACATGATTGGTTTGCAACTCCCTCAAACTACTGAACACAGTATTGGGCTAGAATAATGACTCTTTGGCCAATTTGTCACTTTATTTTCTGCATTGAAACTAAATATATTTTCATTTGATATCACTCGGTCACAGCAGTATCTCTGTAGTTCATTTCATGGACAACTGGCTTTAGCACACTGGCTCAGTAAGGAGAATTTATCCCTGTCAAGAGTAAGGACACTGTTGACAATACAATCTGTCATGCAGGAACTCACACTCCACACATCTGCAGCCCAGCTTCAGTGGTCGGATATATGCCTCCACACTGGAGTTGGATCGAAGCTGGTCACCAGTCAAGTATCTGCAGCACACACACGTACAATGTACCCAGTATCATACAGAAAAATCAATTCAAATTGCGCCACTCATCACATTCATGTATTGTCAGAGCTGCTCGAAACTAATAAGACCAAACAAGCTAAGCAAACTGTATTGAATGTCATTCTGCAACAAGACAAAAACAATACAGAGCTTGGCTTCACAAATATCTCGAATAGTATATCCTCACACGCTCACATGCCCACACATACACACACACACACACACACACAGTGACACACACACACACACACACACACACACAACATACACACACACACACACACACAACATACACAAACACACACACACACACACACTACTCACGTGTTATGTGACGAGGCAATGTAATAATGAGACAGTGGTCGCGTCATATCCTGGTAGACTTTGTTGCGGTGGTCGTAGTTGAATGCAGAGAACTTCGGACACGTCAGAAGACGTTCAAATCCTATAGCAGCGCAGAACAGAAACGAAGCACAGATGTTAAAAGGCTGCGACATTCAATGCTTTTATCACAAATTGAACACCAGCAGAATGCAGACGGGTAGCAGCAAGAGTACATAAACCAGAGTGTGCAACTGTGCAGGTCAGATCTGAACACAGCGCAGTTCATGCACTATGTCACCCTGATGAGGTCAGCCAAGCCGCGACTTGCCTACAGCTCAACATTTTGTGTTTCGCAGACCGGAAATCAGCCAAGCTTGTATGATTCTAGACGTCCTGTTTAAGAATTTCGGTGTTTTTGTGTGACTGGGTACACTCCGCACATCCGCTGTCAAGTAAATTCACCAGGCAGTTACTAAACAATCAGCTCATGTGATAACATTGCACGACACTGAACGACGGTGCTGATGTTCTACAACTAACCGGCTAGCGTAACTTGTAGTTCCTTGGTCTTTCTCTTTTTGTATAATTAATTAAACCTTGGCTCTCCATTTGAGGCCGAAAATAGCCGAAAATAAATATGCGCCGAAAATGTGTTGACTTACAGACTTCCAGTACACAATTTGCAAAAATTAACCACTTAGTGGGCACAAAGTTTAACGACCCTGTCAGCACACACCTGTCTTTCTTCTCCAGTACAGAGGAGAGAAGGAATGCCAGTACATGGTGCATGAGTGGTGAAGGTGATGATCAACACGTACCTTCATAGGAGAGCAGCTTTTGCTCCTTGCAGGTCTCATTTGGCTCGTACTCCTCAATCAGACCTGCACAAAACTCTTCCGTCACATCCATCTGCATATGCAACACACAACACACAAACACAAAAGGTGATACCGTACTTCCGCACATATAAGCCCCCCCCCCCCCCCCCCAATTATAAACACGTGCACTTATAATGTGAACACGGTTGGTGAAACACCTGGCAGCTGAATATACTACTAAGCATGGTGATAACACCGTTGTTTAGGACACAGACAAACCTTTATTGCACATACAAGCGCATGGGGTTCTACCCGAACATGTTCAAACAGCAAAAAAATATTTTTTGTAGCAAATTTTCACTAATAAGCCCATGCGCTTATGTGTGGGGAAGTACGGTAAGAAACAAAATAAAATGAAACCTTAGAACAACAAAGCCATACCATACACGGGCGCATGCCCGGTATGGGTTCCTGGGTGACCGAAACCCCCCCCCCTTTTTTTTTGCTCAAAATGCAGGATTTTGCTTCATTTTTTGAAAAATTTCCCGGGGAGGCCCCCGGAACCCCCCCCCCCCTTGAAGGGCACCGGCGCACGCGCCTGATACATGTACTCAATGGATGGGATACTTTTCACACCTAACTACAAAACTCCTATACTGACATTCTTTGTTTGTTTTTATTTACTTGACCAGATACACAAGCATATCTGTCTTCTCGTCTCACCATACGGCTAGACGCTCAATAAAGAGATGAAAATTCTTCATTCATACTCACATGTTGTTCGGTCACGAGGAATTTTTGCAGTGTGTCTGGCTTGAGAACGCAGTTGCCGCCCGATTCTCTGTAGACAAACACATACCAATTAACAGCAGTGAAAAACAACAAGAGTAGATAAACAAGAGTGTGCAACTCCGGATCTCTTCTGCACAATCTGCAGATACCCCCCCCCCCCCCGCGGCGGAATTTTTTGTTGACGTCACCTTTTTTCAGAAGAACGCGCATTTTGCCCCAGAGCAGTGTGAGAGCACATGCTGGGCACCGACTTTGTAATGTAAAGCCCGGCCAAGTGCACGAGTCAAAACTTTCCAAAAGACTCGCAGCGCGTGCATCGTCGAAAAGATTACGTCAACAAAAAATTCCGCCGCGGGCCAATCCATCCGGAGTTGCACACTCTTGCTATCTACTCTTGATAACACATACTTCAAAGTAATTATATATGAACAAACAATACATGCCTGATGGGATGCACGACAGGTAAACCATAGGGATTACGAATACACGCATACATGCACGCACACACACGCACGCACACACACACACACACACACACACACACACACACACACACAAATACACACGCACACGCACACACACACACACACACACACACACACACACACACACACCATCCTCTCTGATCAAACTCCAAAAATCTTGAATGCCACACACCCATAGACTAGACTCATTGAATCAACAGAACACTCAGTCACTCAGTCACTCAATCACTCAATCACTTTCTCACTCACTCACTCCCTGACTCACTCCCTCATGCATGTACATGTATGCAGGTATGCACACTCACAAGCACAACCGACTTACTTCTGGAGCAAGTGGTAAAGCTCATCTCTCATGGACAGCTTGCGGTAAAACTGTTTGAACTCCTCGAAATCGAGACCAGATTCGCCGCCATCGTTGACATCCGCTTCCATGAAGAGCTTCTTGGCTTGCTTAGTTGATAAGTTGGCATTGATGCGGTGCAGCAGGCCCAGAGTTTCGTCAAAGCTGAGCGTACCGCCATTGTTCTTGTCAGCCGCTACAAACATTTGCTTCAACCAGCTGGGAAATAGGATACCAGTGGCAGTGGGTCAAGGATAAACTGTTGTGAGAAACACGGTGAAATATGCGTGCCATCATTGAGCAAATCAAATTACATGCACACGTACGTGTACTTCGAAATATAATTATGTCTAAAAATGAACCACTGCACTTGTTGAGTTCCGTACTTCACCCATGGTCCCACTGCTGGCATTTTTCAATCAAGTGTGAAATGATAACATACCACATAGCGATCTCTGCATACTGTTCAAATCAAAAGGCAACAACAGTCAAGCAGCTGTACAATTGCATTCACCAACAGCAGAACATACACGCCCACCCAGAGACACAGACACAAAAACATACACACCATGTACACACACACACACACACACACACACACACACACATCACACAACATGTCCAGGTGACATTCCCAAGCTGGAAAACCATCCAGTGTTGTACGATTGTGTAGTATCGACAAGGATACGAATCTTGCAGCTCCTCAGACTTTGCAGCACCTGCCCAGAACAATGCACAGTGGAGAGAGAACAACTCTGGTCAACAAATCAGGCACGATCATAATGCAAGGCAACAATACATGTTCCTGTGCTAGTAATTGACAACACAAAGACTACCCAGGCATTGTAGGAGTGCCTGTGCAACCTGTTGTGATGAAACAATGTGGTGCTGAACATAGCAGATGCCCCTAACCAGGGCCTTTCTAACTTAGAGTAATAATTCTAATGAAACATATTCACACATGTGCACACACACACATTCACGCGTGCACACACACACACAGACATGCACACACACGCACACACAGACATGCACACACGCACACATACACACACACACACACACACACACACACACACACACACACGCTGCCAGTACCACTGTACCAGGGTATGGATATAGCACAAACGTAGGCAAAACAATCATCATGTCACGTCCTACAGTATCTACAGGCATGCAGCATGTGTACTAGTACCTGTCTCCGCTGTGTTCATCAGTGTGCGCAGACCAGTGCAGAACTGCTCAGCCTGGCGATCGGTGAAAGCCAGCAAGCTGAGAATGTCGGGCTGGTGTGGTCGACCATATACCACCGACACACACATGCTTGCCTCCAGATCGTCTTGAAGCTTGTTGAAAAAGTCTGTTGTGTGACCGAGACGGACCTCAAGGACGTTGGTTAGCGGTGCTGTAACAGTGACAACACAGCGTATACAATCATGTTAAGTGATCATCTAACCGGAAATTACCTCACCACGGTGGCAATGTGTGCAAGCATGCAAGGCAGGGGGGCAAGAGTGCAGAGTGCAGAGTGCAGAGTGCAGAGTGCAGAGTGATGTGGTGGTGATATGAAGCAATGTATAGTTGTCGTGAAAAAAATACACTGATAAATGGCTATTGGCTAGAGACACTAGTATTATCCTGATACAGTCATCGTGCTCATGCTATATAGACCGACTCGTGTGTAAATGAGCGTTAGCAGCCAGCCCAGCGAGCTGGCCCAACCTGCACGCATGCGCGAGTCACGTGGGCACGCGCCCTTCAAAATCCTGTACAATGTCTCTTGCATGTCATTGCTGTTTGGACTTTCGAGCGTGCAACTTGCGGAACAGGTGTTCCCAAACAATTTCCTTCTCACCCTCCCACCCACTAGCTCAACTCATGTTTCTGGCGCACACATGACGGTATCTGTATAGTCCATGAGAATATATGCTGGTTATGCATCTCTATATATCTAGCATTTGGCGGCTCAATTCAGAGTCATTGGCGGCTCCATGCGGAGGCATTGGCGGCTCCATGCGGAGTCATTTGGCGGCTCCATGCGGAGTAATTGGCAGCTCCATGCGGAGTAATTCGGCGGCTCCATGCGGAGTCATTCGGCGGCTCCATGCGGAGTCATTCGCCGGCTCCACGCGGAGTTATTTGCCGGCTCCATGAGGAGTCATTCGCCGGCTCCATGCGGAGTCATTCGCTGGCTCCATGCGGAGTCATTCGCCTGCTCCATGCGGAGTCATTTGCCGGCTCCATGCGGAGTCATTTGCCGGCTCTATGCGGAGTCATTCGCCTGCTCCAAGCGGAGTCATTTGCTGGCTCAGCTGCGAGCCATCTAGCGGCTCCAAGCAGAGCCATTATACCAGTTGCTCGAATCGGCACTCCCAGCTTAATGCAAAACTCGGTTACTCTGTTGTGAGGTGGGGGGATGCTAACATTGCTTTTTAAGGCAACGTTCATGATGCTCACTGTCCACATTTACTTGAAGTAGGTCCGCAAGTATACAGTGTATGAGCTGTCAGTGCATTGCTGTTGGATAACCAACCGACTTGCCGCATGACTGACCATCGGATAAGCGACGTGTGACAGTATATGCCACTGCCCGCAGATCAATGAGAAGATGCGCAAGGCATATGTAAATTTGTTGGAGTGCTTATGCTACATCTCTTCATGCTCTACTCCTGCACAAAAGAATGCCTTCATGCCAAGAGTCATAGTCGGTGCACCTGGAATTATCAGCATCAGTGTTTAGTTACTTACTGTGTCCTTTCATGATTTGCTTCTGCGGCGACCACCATTGCAGGTCTCGGCCGTCCTTACTCAGCACAAACTTGCGATCGTTCTTCTTCAGACCCAGCGTACCGTCGCGTAGCAGAGTCAGGACGGTGCCGAGGCGGAAGATTGCCGCACACCGCTCACCTGCGGCGGTCGCAAACAAAGACAAAGAAAGCAAGCATGGCAGACATTACAAACATCCCATCAATGCTGGATCGAGCAGGTCTGATTCGAATTAGAAACGTGTGACTTGTGCCAGTAAACAGTTTAAAGCAAAACGCTGCAGAGAAAACACACCGCAGTCAATACAACATGTCATGTACTAGCAAGTGTATGAAGTATAAGATATTTAAAAGAATTAAGCAACATTACTTGATAAGTGGTGCAAGCGACACAGTCTTTAGCCAGGTGTTTTGTACAAGATGATAGTGTGTCTATACAAGGCACAAAGGATTGTGTGTGATGGTCGGTCTTCTGCGGCAGAAGGGTCGCCACGCAGAGAACCATTACTATTGCAACACACGACACATCCATCGGATGACAAGTAGTACACTCAACACAATGGTATACTGCCTGTGGTAACACGGGTGTACGGACTTTACATTGTACTTACACACAACACACGGAATACCTTGTACCAGTAGTACATACACAACAACATCAACAAACAAGTCTCTTGAAACATGATCAGAATATGCACGTATGCTCAGAAGCGAAACTGTACAAAAAGGCCGCCAGCAAAGATCAGAACAACACATTTTTAAAAGCATACAATTGTAACAATTGTGGTTCCATCTTGTATGCAATGCCTTCTAAAGCGTGCGTCGAGGCGACAAAGTGACGCGATGCGTTGTGTTTCCAAGTAAGCTGTGGCAATCCAACCCCCCAGGCCCTGTAACACAAGTTGCCTGCAAGTCAATAACCACTCATCCAGTGCATACTCGTACATACAATGTAGTGCACACGTGGCAACATTCCATGGCATAACGCTACACTGCAGCAACACTTAAAGTTAAAAGTTGTACGGCCCCAGCCATCACAAGCGGAGCCCTCAGCGCTCCGCCGATAGAACCTTGAAGTACACATAAAGAAGTGACTAAGTCTAGTGTTAAGTGCCTAACAAGTAAGTTACCCTCTAGATACGCCAGAGCCAGGGAACCGACAGCCAAGTCACACACTGTGGACATTCCGAAGACAACCTAGAATCATCAAAGATATTTTAAACTGTACCAGTATTTGCCCGTATACATCTTGGTCCTGCTGTGTGGTTCGGTTATCTATACTGAACGCACAAGCGTGGAACAGTGTTTGCTGTCAATCTGCTTTCGATACTTTTCCACCGGTTTGTGAGGGGACTGGACGCACACGGCTTCACTGTACTGTATTATACAGTACAATACTTCAAGCATATCTATAATTTTAGTTACTGAAGTAAAGTATGTTGTGTGAATGCCTGTACGTGTACGGAGATACATGCGACTGAAACTACAATAGCGTACAGCAACCATCGACAAGGTCCCACTGGGTGGGTTACCGTATTTCCGCGCATATAAAGCCATGGCGTTATAGGTGAAACATCGCTGTTTTGGACCAACTGTTTACAGAAAATAGCCTCGGATTTAACGCCATGGTGCTAAAAGTGAGAGACGCGTACATGCGAAAAAATCGGCAGAGTATGAACTTCGAGTACTCGTACAGTGCCATTGCACGTTCATGTCGAGCATCCATGTACTTTCAATTTTACCTGAAAATTTCAAATTATGAACCTATGGTGTTCAAGGTGGCATGTGACAGTGGGGATGGGTACATGCAGAGAGAATCACCGCTACTGTAGGTTCACTGAAAGAACTGAACTCACCTTTAACGCCAGATGCAACTTCCTCAACATTGAATTTTGTTCACTTATAACGCCATGGCTTTATAGGTGAGGGTGGCCTTATATTCGGATATAACGCCATGGCTTTATATGCGCGGAAATACGGTAAACATGTACGATGTCTACAGCATGGCCGTAGCACTGCTATTTCAAGTGGTCCAGCCAAACGGGATACTTGACCTTGAATGAATATTATTGACGGAAAAACCCCGTGTTGAACGAATAAGTTGGGTCAAATTTTTCAAAATAAGGTCTGGTGGTCGGACTGGCCGGATCACGTGCAATTGGCCCTGTACAGAATGCACTTACAGACTGGTGTACCATGCCGTCATCCATGCCGGCACTTGTTGATACATGCAGTGATAATACATGAAACGTTCCTACAATGTAGTACTGGTAATGCTCTACTTTCAAGTAATAACTATGACCTGCAGCAACCTAACTTTGCTTACATGTACAGTAACAGCCTAAATGACCACACGTGTTGCAGTTACAAGTACATTTTACTTGTGCAAACACTAACATGACATCGACAACATCAACGACAACACACAGGAAGGAAGGAACTACTCAACAGCAATGGAAGCAGTACAAGCACGTGACGCAACGCACCGTCATCAACAGACTCCGACGCAGGCAGCATGTCCAAGAGGCTTGATGTTGTTGCAGCCATGCTGAATACGCATGCATGGCATAACCTGGCCACTGGTACTCTTGGATTGCTTTACTCTCTTTCTCTCAGATATCTCTTTCTTCTTACTGATGTGCAAGAGCTAGCTGTGGCTCAGTCCAGGTAGGAAATCTTTCAGTTTAGGCCACTGTTGCTGGCTGCTCTACCAGCAGTGAGCAGCCAATGCTCCTGTATACTGTGATAATGCAGTGTTGCAGTGTTGCAAGAATCGTCTGCAAGGCAATAGGGCAAGTCTAGTCTAAGACTCTAAGGCCAGTGCCATCAACGCCACATCCATTCACTCTGCAGCAAAACGATGCAGCCTGTGCAGATCGAACTACTGCTACTTGTACTGTGGCCAGTATTGGTTCTTGTCGTGGATTGGCTTGAAGTTGAAAGCATCATCTTCTCTGTACAGCATCCTGACAGACGTGCACACGAGCCTGGGATGGTGTTAGGCTCGTGCTTGCTGACCGCTGAGTCAAACTCAAACTGAGTCAAAGCAAGCTGGGGGCTGGTTGAGTTCAGCCACCCACGAAACGCACGACACATACTGCACTGACACGCAAACACAAAAGGTCTGAATCATGAGCTGCTTTCTCTCACAATACTGTCCATGCAGGGAATCCCTACGCGCCGGTGTTTTTGAGTGGTGTGCACGTCTGACCAGGAACTAACGTGTTACTTCCAAGCAGCAACACCATGCGGTAGAGCGTGCCGCATCTTGCCCAGTTGTTGGATCAATGGAGTCACTCTGGACCATGAGGACATACAATTACTGGTTGTAGTGTAAAAAGAGTTTAATACCTTCGTCAGAGCAGATCAAACAAGCGCAGCACTCACTGACTCAGTGTGGTAAAATAAGTGACAAGAAGAGGTTGTCCATTGATCATTAGTTTGACAGCTCAATTCAGGACTGGACGAAATAATGACTTGCTGGAGCAAATACTCGTGAAAGCGCTTCAGATGAAAGACAAAAGTGGGTGTCATTCAAAGTAACAATGAATATTCGAATGTTGCTGACGATCGATTGAGCGTCGAAGAACTAGAAGAAGCTCCGCGAAGCAAAGTAAAGTTAGTTTGAAAAATGTGCTTCACGTTTCTTTTCACTTTGGGGGAAATCCCGCAGCCTCCGTGGCTGTGGCCCCGTGCACGGTCGCGCCCACTTTTTCGCTTTTTCGCTCCCAGATGAGAAGAAGAGAAGGCGAACATGCCTCGACTTGTCTAGTTGGCTGGGTCGCGAAAGAGCTTGTTCTTCTGGCCATCGCCAGTCGTCGTTTCTAGCACTCGTCTTCTCTTCTCAGTCCCCCGGTTGGTCCACTGCATTGGCCGCGACAATGCCGAAGCGCAAGGTTGTCAAATCAATTCCAGCTGCCGTGAGCAGGAAATCTACACGCCTGAGTGGCAGTCCTGCCAAAAGGACTTCAACCGTGAAGGCGTCCGACAGTGCTGACGGATTTGTGCAGGGGAGGACGAAATGGACAGCGAACAAAACCTTGAATGAAATTCGCAAGGCGTACGAGGAGAATTCCAACCTTGCCTACGCGGCATCGATCAAGCAGTATATGCGTAATCAGTTCGAATTCTACGGACTGAAAGCACCAGTGCGAAGACGCCTGGACGCCCAGATCGCTGAAACAGTCGATTTTGCTGAATGGACAGGAGAGCGTCTGCATAGTCTGATCACACTATTATGGGCACAAACACACAGAGAGTACCAACACTTTGCTGTCGAGTTGGCCAGAAAACATCTTGCTAAAGTTCTGTACGACTTTGATCACAGCATGGACCTGTTGCGCAGGATGATCACGACCAAGAGTTGGTGGGACACAGTGGACATGATCGCTCCACACCTTGTTGGTGCACTGGTGACGCGATACCCTGCCAGGGGTGTTCCACTGATGGACGAGTGGATTCAGGATAAGCACCTGTGGATCAGACGCGCGGCCATTCTGCATCAGTTAGCGTACAAGAAAGATTGCAACGAGGAGCGTCTGTACCGATACTGCCTGGCGTGCTGTGCTGAGACCGACTTCTTCATTCGGAAGGCGATCGGATGGGCACTTCGACAGCATGCGTACCTGCGACCATCGTCTATCAAAGGATTTGTCTCGACCAACGATGAGAAACTTTCCTCGCTTAGTAAAAGAGAGGCGCTCAAGCATCTTGGCGGCTGGCCATCAAAGAAATGAGTCGCGCTCATCTTTTCAATGCCGCAGCAAGAGTGCTGGAACAAGCATTGTTGGTGTGCGTCCAATACAAACCACTACTGTAGTACAGGTACACACCACCCTATGTATGTGTGCACTGTACAGGTACACACCATAGTATGTGTGCACTGTACAACCCAAGATTGCTACATTGGGAAGTGCATGGCGCCTTGGTGACGACGCTGCTCAACGCACATGTATTCTGATAGTGACTGTAGATTAGAGCTGTGTGCCGCATCGCAACGCAAACACTGCAAGACTAGTAGATCGCACCAGTTAGGCATTCGCCGTACCGACATGGTGCTATAGTGACGGTACTGGATGAAGAGAGGCCACTGAAACGCCGTCGTTTCGACTAGGTGGTAGCTTTACCCTCTATTCGACAGATGGGCTCCGTACGCCAATCCACATTCCGTGTGAGTCGTGCACTGAAGATGCACTGTCAATGGCATCCCTTATCGTGCATTGTACTGCTGTACTGTCCAATCAAGCTATGTACATGTAGGTGTAGTGACTGTGTTTTTCGAGCCGTATTCTCCATGAGTTGCCGCGGTTACGCTAGGTGACTGCATATGCATGTGCCATGCTGACTCAAACACACGGGAATGTAGCACTATTCCACCAAAGCCGAGCGACCGATCACGCCGTCAACTCTCTCTTCTCCAGCTTCTCCCCCTTGTGAAGCAGAGGCTTGTGGACACGACTCACAAGAAGCGCAATCCTCTAGCGACGTATTTGTCCAGGCTGCAGTCAATCCAGCTTGCTCCTTGAAAGCAGGACCGGCGAAAGCAGTTTTCGATTGGTCCGGCCACACCCTAACCGTTCATACAGTTTGTGTATGATATGACGGGTAGACATAACCTCCTCGGCAGTGAACACATGATGTTGGTGGCCAGAAAGTTGGTCCGGCCATGGACTGACCAAACTGACCGGTTCCGCCGGGCCTGGAAAGACAGTTGATTCATGTTGGAGTCGGAGGACTATAGAGTTATATGAAATTTGTCTGGTTCGTACACATCTGTTTTCGCTCACAACAAACTTGAAAGAATGTTTTTCTGTGCCCGGTTAAGTCATGAACAATAGTCGCCCAGCATACTTTCAATAGGCTCTTTAGCATTTTCAAATTATTCACTGATGTCATGCAAGAGTGTAGTTGAGCATTCCTTTCTGCCTGTCAGTCACTAAGTGTTAGTATTCTCTTCTTATTGTTACGCACCGTACCGGCCGTGCTCGTCGGGGTACAGTGTAATCCTGTTATAGGAAACCCACAGCCTTAGCTGCGGACTAACACCATGAACACTACACAACAGGTTATTATGAAACATACTAGTAGTCAAAGTGTTGTGTCTGTGTAGTCAAAGTGTTCTGGGGTTACTATCCACCATAGAATAGCCTGAGACAAGCTTTGACTCCTCATACTGGATTCCATGTGGACGTGTGTCTGGCTGGCTGTTTGTGCATGTGGGTTTCATCTTCGGGGGGGGGGGGGGGGCTGAGAGAGCACAGACAGTTCCCACAATCACTGCACCAGGAGCTGGAAGGCATTGCCATTGGTCACCGTTATGGTGGAAGGAGCCCATGCACCTCTGGCCCATAACCCGACACACTAAACATCTACCTAAAGTACATGTATCATCATTCTAATCTAATTTCGAACACTGCAGCTTTAAATTGTTGTACTGCACTATTCTACAGCCAGAGCTAAGCTCACAGCTTGTATTTACTTGCAGTGTTGTAGCATGATCAGTGGCCAAAGGGTTTGCCTTGAAGGCTTCACGGGCCTGGAGTGAGTTGAGAAGTGGAACAGTGATAAATGAACAAGTGCAAGTGTACCATCCAGAACCCACGTGACTGGACTACTGAGGGGGTGTCCATACCATGATGGCATGAAGCCAGACACTCAGCCGGAGGGTAAGGGTTTGAGTAACCCTACATCTGCATCATGTGCAGTACTAGTAGGTCCAGATCAGTTGCACAAGTCATGCATGGAGTGTGTCACATAAGTTATGGCTAAGTGGTCACAATTTTAAAGTGGAGTAGTGTCCCACATGCCAACCTGCCTTTCCTGCCCAGCGCTGACCTGCTGTCACAAGAGATGCTCTGTCTTGAAAACCACTGACACTGCGGCCTACCCTGAGGATGAAAGCTATGAACTTTGCGGCGCCATTGATAACCCATCACTCATCATGCAGCTGCCCGGCGGCTGGGTATGCATAAGCCCTGGTGTTACCAAGAGGTGGCGTATTATCCTGCTGGGGCATATCCAAGTATATTGGTTAATTGGGGTATGGACTCGGTCTGGAATGTATACCTCGGCTGTCACACAGTGGACTCAGGGAGGACCATGACATAGAACATGCTTACCTTTATGAGTGGCTTGGAATTCAGTCCCGGCAGAGGTATAAGGGGTGTGTAGCCTTGGCTGTGGGTATCTCTGATTGCTGTTTACAAATTACCCTTAAATTACCCTTACCAACCAATGAACTGGAATGAACATTGTCATGGCTGGACTCAGCCCTAGTACATGTACCCGGCAGGATCCCCCCCCCCCCCCCCCCCCCCCCCAGGCCAGGAATGGAGCCGGACTCATTATCACAATCAATAAACAGGAGTACTAGAGGTGCTGCGAAGACACTGTATCATTGTATTTTTGTACCTTGAATTATTATGCCGCCAGTCTATCAGTCTATAGCATACCTGGTAAGGCACATTGTCCAGCTGTTTCAAACAGACACGGAGGCCAGTGAGTCACATGGGACCTTAGGTTGGACGTACGGCAGATGTCGCAATGCCTTGGGCCAGGATCTTGACCTGCTCGACGGGCTCCTGCTACATGGCCATGATCACATTCAGTATGGACCGGACAGGCTGAGGCCAGGAAGGAGGAGGCAGGGGACTGGGACCTCCTGGTAGTATGCAACACCGATACTAACCCACATAGCTCAGACATGACTACACCCTGAGCTATTCAGTGGACAATGGGCGACTGCCTGGTAAGAGCAGTGTGTGGCCTGCAGCCTGATGGCAGCTCAGTGGTAACTACACTCAGCGGCTATGCTGACCGCGGAGTAGTACAATGATAGCCAAAAGTGTTACTGAAGGAACTCTTCACCATGAAGATTCCTGAGCACTTTCTAATGCTACACTGTATGTATCCAACCTGGGCCACGACGACCAACCAATCAGTATCTCCTGAACAGTGACGGGTGACTGATGTTACCAGGATATCTAGTAAGTTGCAATGTGGCAACAAGCTCTTGCATTACCCCACCAAATCCAATTCATTCTAACTCCATTGAGTATTCACAATCCAACACTTCATCAGATTTCGCAAGCCACTGTATGGCGTGCCTGCTTCTCAGCGCTAACTCAGTATTCTTGAGGCTCGTACTGCAGCGTAGATGGTATCCGACAGATCTAGACTGACGGCCATGACTGGCATGAGGCATGCTTTGAGTGTGAGGATAGCACATCACGTAGATCTATTTCTAACCATCGCTACTGCACCCACATGCACAGTCTGGAGCACTGAACATGTGGTGGGTCGGTAGCAGTGTGCTAAAAAGGAGGAGACGACAGTGGACGACGGTTACGTATAAGTACTGGTGACCACAGTTGGTTTGCCAGTGTGATTACTCATGATATACCGGTAACATGCATAACACGGCAACATGACATGATTGCCATTACTCTGCAGCCTAGCCTGTGTACCTGTCTACCTGGACTGGCATCTGGAACGATCGAATTTTAACTAAAGTCAATGATTGGAGATGGATCAGAGTCTTCCACGACGTGTTACGTACAACAATGGGGATTGCGGACATTGACATACATGTAGGTAGTCTCTACAGTAAGACACAATGAATACAGAAGTACACCGTGTTCCTACCTGGCGTGCCGGCGTTTTCCGTCGTGCCGCCTCCGCTAGTCTTGGACGCCATTATGGACAGTCTGCAGGCAGCCTCCAGGTATGTCAGCGAAGCACCGCCGGTCAGGCGACGATGTTCGGTCAGCACGTCTCCAGCACTGCTCCAGCTAGCGGTCAACGGCAGCAATCAGGTTGAAGGGTGTTGAACATGCACGAACACGCAGAAGAAACGGCCACAAGTCTCCACAGAAGGAGCTGTACGACAGAAGGTGTGCCCTTTTATTTTGAGTTTGAGTGTCCCTCAGGCAGCCATGCAACATAACAAACGTACAAATCATGCACCTTCTCCCTTCGCGTAAAACCGGAATATCCGAGTAGTGGAGCAGCTGCGGCGCTACCACCAACGCCGTGTGGAGTGTCACTGTGTGATCAATAAGCCCTACAGTACTCTGCTAAAAAGTAGACTAGAAAGGCTACAAGACTGTCATCGAAGCGCAGACAGACACACAAGCGCTGCTGTCAATAATAATAATTATTCCCAGGCTTGAATGGCACCGGGGATTGTCCAATAGGTATTTTGACTCGTATTCGTGGCTGGCAACATTTTCAAACGCCATCATTTGCAAGCTCTATTTACTTGATGGCACATGACAGTCGTGGTTTGTGGTGTGTTCGTAAGGACACGGGCCACACGGCATTCCATTCTCTAGCGCTGGAACATTGACATTGTGTTTACTTGATACATGTACATAATATGATGTACCGGTACACATGCTGTACGATCATCATTCCGAACAGCCTACTATCGACCATTGCGTCGCTGGCCTGGCATCATACAAAGACTTGTGCCAAGTTGTGGAAGGTTTGGCAGCTCTCAAAAACTCTAATCTCCAGAAGTGAACGCGTCACAAGAAGAGATAAACGCAACATACTGATTGCAAGGTAAACAGCAGGGAGTCGTATATTATTAGTGAAAACAAGGTACAGGTACTACTAGTATTTTACGACTCCCTGGTAAACAGAGTAGAGAGAGAAGCTGTCATTGCGATACATTGTATTGGGTATTGTTCACAATACCACAACAACAGTCAGTCTCTGATTCTACTCGATGTACTTATGTACCTGCCATGTCGATCATAATCGCTGAGGACTGAGCCAGCTGCGACTGAACCAGGCGGATCATTGAATATTATTATGAAGACAAACTGGCAAGGTCAGTGAGAGTCTGAGTAGAAACCCTTCGATGGTTGCATTAGGGATAGCAGTACGGACATTCAGCTCGGCATGGTACCACATTACCGGGCGGGGAAAGCGACTGTTAGTCCTGAAACCGGCATATGTTTTCCGTTAGTACTTACCGTCGCTTGATCTTGTATGCTTCTTCAGTAACTCCCATTCTGTCGGCCGTAGTATGTACCCGTATTCCGTAGGTCTACAACAAACAGCAGTCCAACTGCCTCACCAATCAGAAGGAAGATCGAAATGCTTTCGACCTGCACAAAACGCCCCGGCCGAGTCAAGATACTTCCTGCACACCTGTCAGCGCTCGGGGCTGTCTGAAGTGCGAAGGGAGACGCGTCGACGGACAGCTAGTGAAAAGTGGGGTCGTGAAAGGGAGACCGCTCGCTGTCGAGCCGCTTCCTCGCACACACCTACACGAAAGCCGTCGTGATCATGGCAAGTAATTAGTTTTCTATCCGACCGGATATGCACCGGCCAGCTCCTCACAACCACCTGTTCCAGAACTGGTAGAAGCAGGGACACAACCTACCGTTTGCCAAACCGCCACACTGCCACAAGAACACAGTGTGACAGATGATCAAATGAAATACAAAATATTTCCTCTTTCTTTTCGCCCAGAACAGCGAAACTGACTACTGGCTATCGCTTGTACATGTATCAGTATAATATGCAGAATATTTACAGGGCACGCAGAAACCTCCCTGCAACAGCATGATCAGGGAGCGCGCAATCAATCTTCCGGTATTCGAGGGACAGGAAAGACTTTTTAGTTGTGATGTCCTGACAGCTGCCACTTGTGGCGCTCAGTAATATGGAGATCGAGAATCTAGAATGATGAGCAAGAGTGCAGTTTGATTGCTGAAGTGACAGAAAGTGACAGCGTCCGAATCACATTTACACCGACCATCGTGTATAAACAAACCGGAGAAATCAAGTGCCTGGTGTCATCACTGCATCAGCAAACAGCCACACTGGCACTCAGCCGTTGTACTACTAAAATATATACAGGTTGGTATGTTGGCAAGTTGGCAACTATTACTTGGCATGCACTGCAGAGCGAGTGTCCTGGCCTGCTGGGCGCTCTGATCTCAGTCTATTTATGGCCTAGTGTAGACTCTGGCTCAGCCGTACCGCCGCGCCACGGGTATACCGTGAGTAGACTTGGACCGTGTCATGTCGGTCAATCAGCCCCATCAAGACTTCAAACTAACGACTAGTAATTACTTATGAAGTTATGGAACTACAGTAACAGTAGACGTCGTACCGTCCCCTAGAAAATACGAAAACTATGGCAGTAAGGGGGAGAACTAAACTAGTAGTAGTATTAGTAGTAGTAGTAGCTGCTGCATGTAGTCTTGAAGGATAGGTATCGACCGCCCTGCAGTGCAAGGAGTGTTGCACGTGACTGTGTTAGCAGGGCATTGCATTGGGTCAGTTGGGACTGATCGTTCCCTAGGAAGCATTGTAATGCTAGCAATGCTGCATAAACCGTGACAGGAAAGTGAGGAAACTGAAAGCACTCTCATGTATAGTAGGGTACTAGTAGTGGCTCAGTTTGCTGGTTGCGCTGATGAGTCCACAAAGGACGAACCAGTTCTGTCCGCAGATTGAGGAAACTGACAGCATCCTATACTAGAATCATGGATATGATGTGACCCAGTGATGACAACAATCATGTTCATGATTGCACTACATTGTCAATTTGTCATTGCACCTACATCAGTACATGTACATGACTGTATTTGTTTTTGAATTAGTGTTGGGTTATATTACCATACACTGTATCTGTACCTGCGTGCACCAGTAGCAGCACCACTACCAGTGGCAGTGACCAGGTGACCAGTGACCACAAGAACCCCAGGCCTTTGCCTAACACAGACTCAGTAGGTACTTAGTTACAGTGGCGGCCCGGGGCAGGTCGGGTAACTCTGGGTGCTTCATGTGCAAGACTGAGTCTTGCTTCGAGTCTCGACTCTTGGCACCACTCCTTAGGCTTTGGGTGCGGACTGCACTTGACGTCTGCTGCAGGATGCCAGCGCGTCCACTACATAGCTGAGTGAGGCTGCAGATGTGCAGTTTGCAGTTGCGTTATCGACGGACGGTGCTTCTCTGCTCATGAAGTCTTTTGAAGAAACTGAAAGGGACAAGCCATGACGATCGTACAGTGCAGCATGTGCATGTACATGTCATCGCCGGACGCCGGTACACACGACATTTGGGAGAGAAGCGCATACCGGTAGCCAGTCGGCCTCAGGATCGCTTATGCACAACCTCTAGCCTAGGCTCCGTATGTCCAGAGAACTACACAGAAGAAGCTTGACGGAGAGCTGCTAATGCCATGATTGCCAGTGTCCATACAATCAAGAGTACAATGTACATACTAGTTGAACCCCCACTTACATGAGGTATTATGTACAGTAGAGTCTTGATACAATCCAAAGCAAAGGTACTACATGCACTTCCCAAAAGCCGGAGGCGGTGTCATGCCATGGCTTGCCACCACAAGTCCACAATCATGGTCCAGGCACCTAGTACCTGCCTCATTATCTTTTTTGTAAGGATTCTCTGCTTGACTTTTTACGTGTGTTGAACTGCGCCGAAACCCACGGTCAGCTGGGTACTCACAGCTCGAGTGAGGATAACAAGGATGCAGTCTACAGGGTTATGGGCCGTTACACGCCCGATTGGTTGAGAGACTCACCTCCTCTCCCCTGACTCACTTGTGAGGTCTGCATTCGCCACTAAGGTGTAAAGGCATAGTGGTGGCCTGCGGAAGCGAAGGCTATCTTGTGTGTTTCTGAACATTCAAGTGATGCTAACGCGGATCCCGCGAATATTATTATATTATTCTCTGAAAGTAACTGGGTTCTTCTTTCTAGTATGGAGGAGTTTCCTGGAAGGGTGGTCCGTGGATCATGGGAGGACATGGAACTTACTTATAAAATTACTTACTTGGGTAAGTAAGTTGGGAGAGAGAGTTCCCGCCCCCGTCGGAGTTTTGGACTGTACGAGCGACTCGTACTGTAGATCTACAACAGCTGCAGCAGCCTCCAGCACATCGCTACCGCACTCCGCAGTTCCGCACTCTCTACTCAGCATAGTCATGAGTAATGTCACAGCCACTCGGGGAATCCCCTTTACACGTTTGAAACTGACGAAACTTTTTGCCAGTTTGCAGAGTGACTTCCTACTTCTTGAATTATCGTGTTCCCTGCTCGAAGTATTTGCCTTCATCCTTCTGCGGCCCTTCTGGTCACTGGAAGACTGTGATTACCCTGTCATAATGAAGTATCGTGTGCTGCTACATATTTCCTTCAAGCTCATTGCAGCTTGCTAGCCCAAAACTCCGGGAACGAAATTCAAACTTTTTGAAAGAATTGGAGTGTGCTTCTTTCTGGTACTTTCTGCTAGAAGCCAATGGAGTAGACGTCCCGAGCTAATGCTAATATCAGGCATTCTGACTAAGTATTCCTTGGAGTGATGGTATGTGTATGCGCTGAGAGGCAGCGATAACACGTGCCGGTCTCCTGTGCACGTAGATGTGCAGGGTACACGTGTGTGGCAGGAATTGGTGTCATTCAACATAGCAGTCCAGAGTCTGTGAAGAGTTAGACCGTACATCACACAGTGAGCATCACACTGAACGATGGCCAGGCGACAGCTCCTCTACGCGTTCTTTCTGGAGCCAGTCGATTGGCTATTTCAGCTGGCTGGGTTCATAGCATTCCTCGTCCTTCTAATACTTGTTGTGACGGATACGCGACAGTACTCCTGGTTCATTGTATTCACACCGATGTTCATTGCCAATGGCTTATCGGCCTATTTTCAGACCATGGTGTATTTCGGACTGCTCTACGACGGCTACACGCGTGAGGCTCACAGGCGAATTGCGTGGATCACGATGCTGCTGGTGCTGCTGACGTTGTTTGAAGTGCTGCTCGCCAATCACCTGAACGGAGGAGATACCAGTATCGGCGGTGCCCTTGCGCCGATGATTATCCTCTTTATTGCGTTACTGCTGCGCTTCCTGTCTGCGCTGGCCAGAGGCAGAGTATAGCTGAACGCGCGGGACTTGAGGCGGGCTGCTGTCTCTATTCCCAGCCTTCAAATGGCAGTGTTGAGAGTGTTTGCAAGATGGAGCCACGTACGGGACTTGAGGCGGGCTGTTTTAACCTTTTTTAAGCATTTTTTATACACCCAATCCTCTCAGCCTAGAAATTACAATTCACAAAATCATGGATAAGAAGAAGGACAACACGTTATCACAGTGGCTCACCATCCAAGTTCAAATTCACAAAATGTTTTATAAACAGCCCCTCAGTCTTTTATAAACAGTTGGTTGACTCGATTCTTTGGGGTTCAGGCAGCTTTAATACTAGCTATTATTATTGTTAGCTGGACAATGCACACCGTGCAGCTTAGTTTTTTTAATGTTTCTTGTCTAGTGTAAGTTTCTTCACACGTGCATGCTATGTGTGTTCAGCTGGTCTGAATGGCATGTTGATGTTATCCTTTGGTTTCTTGATTACTGCTCATGCATGATCATGACCGTTTTAACTTACCTACTCATGACAGTAGAATACTTGATTGTTACATGTACTAGTATCGGTGCATGCACTTTGGTTTGGTTTGGTTTGGCGTGGCTTAGGTGAATACAAAATCTGCAGTTTACATGCTCTGGTGTTCTCATCAAGGAATTCTTTTGCCGTACCATGACTTTGTCGTGAAGAACTCACTAAGTCTAAGAGTAACTATGAAATAGTGAACCGGGGATGGAATGGAACCAAACAACAACCTTTTTCTGCGTGCTTGTGTATGTGTGTAGGTGCGTGTGTGTGTGTGTGTGTTGTGGGGGGGGGGGGGGGGGGGGGGGATACGGCTGGTTTGCAAATACATGTAGTGCCAAATACTGTACTATTGTGAAAAGAAGGACAAAATGTTACGAGTTATGACTGACTGTCCTTCTTCTTTTCACAACAATTTAATTGGCTCACCATCCGAGTTAAATACTGTACTATTATCACTATAATAACGTTAGTACAGTATTTGGCACTACAGTCAGACATCGCTTATCCAGTCCTCTTTTATCCGGATCCCTCGCCATCCGGAAGAAAATCATTGGTTACCGATTTACAGCATATGTTATGCATACATACAGACTGATACAGTATGTGTGTTCGATTATCCGGTTCCCTCGCCTATCCGGATATTTTTGTGGAAAACGGATGTGTGCGGTTAAGCGAGGTCTGACTGTATTTGCAAACCAGACTCGAATGCTGCTCATACAAAGCCCTTTGGCCCTCTTGGAACATCTCTTTTATTTATTTATTTATTCAACATCTTATGGCTTTATCCTGTCCTGTGGCCATCTGCATATTCTACATGTACGGCATGAGTCACCAAGACTCGGCAAGAGGCAAGAGGGGGGGGGGTATTTATTTTCATACTTCAAGTACTAGTAGTAGTACTCCATTTCCAGGGAGAGTTTCCAAAGATACAATACGTCATATTTTTGACGTTTTCTTTGAAATCCATGATTTACATTGTACAGGTCACAGGTACTATCAAGAGTGCATATGGACTCTTGGTAATAATGTAGGTCAGGGACTGGCCACATGGCCACACAACTAACAGGGGGGCTGGTACAGGTGCCAGGGGCCGAGCACCAGCACACCGGGGTGGAAGAAAAGCATGTGACTTGAAGTACTCTCAATGTTTGTGTTGTGATTCACACATCATGCCCAATATCTACAGGAATTTGCTACGCCGCAAATTTCGAGACTTTCTTCCGCACTTTCACCTTACCCCTGGAGACAGCATACCGCTCTCACTAGCTGCTCCAAGACCAACAAGTGCCTGCATACAACCCTGAATGGACCATTAATTTTACTTATCTGGTCATGTACATCAAACAATGGCCCAGTAGATCTCAGTGTATGTTAGCAAGAGTGCATAAATGTTTACGGACTCTTGATGTTAGTCTTAGTTACTTAAAGTAGCACAAACAACGGCCCAGTAGGTCTTAGGTCTTACTGAAAAGTAGTGTGACACAAACAGCAGGCTGAGTTAGTACGGTAAGTAGGAACGATATCATTAGTAAAAGACGATGACAACGTATGCGCTAAGAAAAAGAAGAAAAAAAGACGGTAGGATGCTATTAAAAATGAAAGTGCGGATTAGCCCTACAGGGAGCGGCATATCAGCAAATCTAACATTTTCTTCTATGCCTAAACTCCGTTGCTCAAGGCTAATAGTAATAACGAATGCACCGATGTGTGGGTAAGAAGCTAGGCCTGACCAATACTATGTATATACACATACATACATGTGTTGCATGAATTATTGACCTCGCACGATGATGCACCAAGCGTGCTGTGAGTGCCAGAGTACGTGCTGCGAAGGCTAAGCATAGCACAAAGTAGAATCGACTTCATAAACTTCTATGGTATCATCATCTCAGAGAGTAAGAAATGCGCAAGCCGCATATACATGTACGTGCAGGTACTTGGAAAGGTGTCAAGTTGAAGAACAGGGGAAAAGGGTGCTTGTAGGAATCTATAAGATGGCTATAAGATGTGTGTGTGTGTGTGCGGGGGAGGGGGGGGGGGGGGGGGAGGAATCAAGATCAGTAGGTTAATAACGCTACAAAAGAATAGAAAAGAGAATGGTAGAAGCTCAAGAAAACATGGGGTAGAATCTCGTCCCTCTACGCCCTTGCAGGAGGCATTGGAGTTAGAGTTGACAATGTTTTGTGCATGATAGGGAGAATGTGGTGCGTATTTCATGAAAAATAAGCGCAGCGTATCACATTGTGCAGTGTTGTGTTATCTCTACACATACTGTGACAATGTAGCTTGTAGGGTTAGCAGAATACGAAATTTATTGTAATGCTCTCGGCCAGCGAGTAAACAATCTCGCATAATGAATATGACTCCTTATATGTGCAGCACTCCAAAGCCATTCTTGCACACCTTGCACACAGGCAAGGAGTGGCTAATGTGCAGGACACACACACACACACACACATGCATGCATTCACGCACACACACACACACACACACACACACACACACACACACACACACACACGCGCACACACACGCACACACACACACACACCAACTAATTTGACACATTGACATGCAGGTACATCTGTCATCCTCTCCAGTATGGACACAGTGGATACAGTGCTTGCTCCCATCCACAGACAGCATAACAGCGCCACCCTACCAGTCAGTCGCCGGCCCTTGCTCAGGCAACAGCACAGTAGAGACACCAGAAGTGTATGAACACTGCGTAGGCGACGAGTAACATACGCGGTGCACCCGGGTGTGCACGTGATAAGCGGTGTGTCAAGCCCAGGCTATAGACATACAGAGGAGAAAGACACGGGAGAGACCAGAATACGGAGGTTAGGGGCACTGAAGAGACCAGGAGGTATTATACAAGCACTGAGGCTGTGTGAAAAATAAAATAAAGTAAAGTTCGCATGCCCGCGTTACAACTAGCTATACAGTTGTGTTGAGAAACACAACCAGCTCAGGAAGGTTCGCTAGTAGATGTGATAAAACCCTACGAGTACTCGAGCAGGGAGTCGTAAAATACCGGTATTTTACGACTCCCTGCCGTGGAGTATGAATGCAATGCCAAGGCACGAGTACACCTGTACTTGCATTATCACATTCACGAGCACACAACAAGGTAAGATAACAAAGCAACACACACACACACACAGCTAAAGGTGGACCAAAGCCCAGTTGTTTTTCTGTAGTGAGTACTTCATTCGAAGTAGGAGCGGAACGAGTGCATCGGTACGCTTTTAGCGGCGAGTCTGGCAAGTATTGGGCCAGCTATGACGTGCTCAAAAGGGAAGCTAGCACAGAGAGCACACACTACATTTGTATCTCTACGTTCAGGCATGACAGTCATTGTAGACAGAGGACAGCATTCATACAATGTTGCTAGCCACTTCCAACATCGCACCTGCACACATCAAAATGTGCCATAGACTGCCCGTAGCAAGCTCGCAAAACCAATACGATAACTCGATACACGCGCACCGGTTTTAAGCCATCGAGGGAGTAAGTTTTCCACCCAATGTACTTATTTTACCTCTAGTAGGAAGCATCATTCTGCTGCAGTACACAACACAGCTACCAGTGTACCAGCATTACATCTCGCACTAGCAGATTGCTTACCTGTGAACTCTGAGCTGTTGCAGTAGCTGGTTGGCAGCGAGAGGTACTGTCCAGGTACACAACAGAACAGAACACAGATTCGAATAAATGATGCTGCATTGAAGTCTTAAAATCAGTCTAGATCCAGACAAGATCATATTTAGTTCGTAATGCTTTGTTTTCCTGCACCGCCAATGCAAGTACTTGCAAGTATTTCAATGCAAACCGTCCCTGCATGAGCATGCTTGTACTTCTACTATCGCCATGCAGCCCAGAACTGTACTTACATGTAGTGGATTGTGCTGATTGACCAGCGCCGTCAGTAGTCAGTGTACTGGACCACTCCGGAATGTCTTCAGTCTGCTGTACGCACACACACAGACACAGACACAGACACAGACACACACACACACAGACACACAGACGCACTCACATGCACACACACGAACACAAACATACAGACACACACATTATACGCACACGTGAAACTCAACAGTGCAGATTATACCGGTATACAATATACTTGCTAGACTACAAAAGGCCACACTGCTTTTGCCTTGAAGAGTGGCATCTGTTTCGAACTGAACTCTTCTATCTCTCTGTGTTCAACAAGGCAGAAGTACATGTTACACTGCTGCTATCAGGAGTACATATAACCTTTTTCATTGCTATCAGGTTCGGCCTCATTTCCTCTGTGCTGCGCTGATGAGTTCACAAAGGACGAAACAGTTCTGTCCGCAGATTGAGTACAGTGGATATCGGTTATAAAGTCATCGGACATAGTGATAAACCGGCTATATTGATACAAAATGAAAATATCAAAAGCAAAACCAGAAAAAGCCAGTCAAATTATCGCTATAACCAATAATATCGGATATAGCGATAAATCGGCTATAAGGATACAGAATCACCTTTCAAAACACCTCTTTCAGTCTTTGTACAGAAAAATATCGTCTATAGTGATAGCAACACAAGCGTGTGAGGCATTCACGTCTCGACTTGGAGCCACATGTGTGTTTTCATAGTGTATTCTGGTCTGATGCTTCCTGGAGGATGCCTTGGGGCCAAGAAGTTGTTCACTCTAGACTGGGGAAGGTGCAGCAGCATGCATCATGTATCAGTACGCTACATTAGCGCGATCGAGTACTCACACATGTATAATGTGTATGTATGACGCGCGCAGTTGAAAATCGCCTGTAGTGATATACCGGTTATAGTGATAAAATGTGAAAAATCAGAAGGGCACGTTATAACCAATATCTACTGTATATCCAGGTTATGCACTCTTGCTGCTATTCTTGTGTTTGTAATGTTCACTGGCGCTGTGCAAAACGAACAAGGCCAGGGAAGAGCGAAGACCTACCTCTGCCACATCCACGGCCACATCAGCACTTCTTTGCTGCTGCCTGTGCTGTTGCAGCAGCTGCTGGGTCTCCTCCTGCTGCAGTTTCTGCTCTTTGAGAAGTTCCTGGACTTCTTGGCGGCTGTCGTCCAATTCACGCTCCAGGATGCCGCATTTTGCAGACTCAGCCGTTAGCTTTTGCTGCGTGCACAGAAATAAGACAACATAAGCACGGGTCTTAGTCCGATTTGCATGTGAAAGACACAAGCAAAGCCAGGCGCTACAGTCTACACTGTGTCAAAGAGAGGAGAAATGAATGACTTCACCCTTCGCGTAACAGTGGTGGAAATAGTCGATGTAGTCTGAGCAACAACTGAGTCAAGCTGAACAAGAATGATAGTAAAGGTCTTCCCGGCTCTTCCGATCTGCTACTACTACTAGTCAATATCGAACAGGGTGCAGTCAACACACCACCATACCAATGACTATATTGAACAGGGTGCAGTCAACACACCACCATAGCAATGACTATATCGAACAGGGTGCAGTCAACACACCACCATAGCAATGACTATATCGAACAGGGTGCAGTCAACACACCACCATACCAATGACTATATTGAACAGGGTGCAGTCAACACACCACCATACCAATGACTATATTGAACAGGGTGCAGTCAACACACCACCATACCAATGACTATATCGAACAGGGTGCAGTCAACACACCACCATACCAATGACTATATTGAACAGGGTGCAGTCAACACACCACCATACCAATGACTATATTGAACAGGGTGCAGTCAACACACCACCATACCAATGACTATATTGAACAGGGTGCAGTCAACACACCACCATACCAATGACTATATTGAACAGGGTGCAGTCAACACACCACCATACCAATGACTATATCGAACAGGGTGCAGTCAACACACCACCATACCAATGACTATATTGAACAGGGTGCAGTCAACACACCACCATACCAATGACTATATCGAACAGGGTGCAGTCAACACACCACCATACCAATGACTATATTGAACAGGGTGCAGTCAACACACCACCATACCAATGACTATATCGAACAGGGTGCAGTCAACACACCACCATACCAATGACTATATTGAACAGGGTGCAGTCAACACCCCACCATACCAATGACTATATTGAACAGGGTGCAGTCAACACCCCACCATACCAATGACTATATTGAACAGGGTGCAGTCAACACACCACCATACCAATGACTATATTGAACAGGGTGCAGTCAACACACCACCATACCAATGACTATATCGAACAGGGTGCAGTCAACACCCCACCATACCAATGACTATAATGAACAGGGTGCAGTCAACACACCACCATACCAATGACTATATTGAACAGGGTGCAGTCAACACACCACCAAACAGTCACTGTAAAGACATGCGAGGTGCAACCAATCATTGTGGCAATCTCTGCAAATAATCATCGAGCAGTACGCCATGAGTGGCAAGGACGGTGCCAAGATTAATGAGTTGCCGGTACTCACTACATCACTCAATGGCTACTACCAGGCACTGCCCCCACTGGATCAACAGGATAGAGCACACGGTACTCTGTCTGTCTGTGTGTCTATTTGCCTGCCTGCCTGCCTGTGTGTGTGTGTGCAGGCGCGTGCTCGGCGATGGGCACGGGGGGCACGTGCACCCCCCCAAAAATTTTTCAATCTGGGTAATTGCAATTGTAATGTATGCAAATATGCTCTAAAATTCAAGAAAGGTTGCAAACAAATTGCAGAAAATTGCCGGGGGAGGGGGCTCCCCTCGGCTCCCGTGCACCCCCCTAGTTGGGGGGCCGAGCACGCCCCTGGTGTGTGTGTGTGTGTGTGTGTGTGTGTGTGTGTGTGTGTGTGTGTGTGTGTGTGTGTGTGTGTGTGTGTGTGTGTGTGTGTGTGTGCGTATCTGTCTCTTTTTACTATCTTACCTGCAGCTTATCATAGTCCTCAGAATCAACTGGAAGCGGTATCCTGAGCATGCACAAACAATGCACAAACGTGTACAATTCATAATCAAGTGGAGCATGGAGTAGAGCGAGGAGTTACATCATCCTAGGAACCACGTCAAGGACATCCACCCACAACTTCACAAGAACAAAGTCACCGCCGAGTTCACAGCACAGAAAAGTGTGCGCAGTGCAGTGTAACGAAGCAGTTTACAGCCCAACAATGGGCTGGACTTGGTTATTCTGGGTGCAAGCGACTGTCTACATCGACATACCGTAAAGCACCGTTGATCCGCCCCCCACGCCATGTCGCTTCCCAGCTGGGTTTTCGGCAGGGGGCGGGAATTAGATCAAGGCTGTCAAGTGCAGTACGATGTACAACAACGTAGAAGTTCAGACTCGATATGCTGGATTGTGCACATTTTCATCCTGGATTGGCAAGTATTGTGTACAGCAGTGCATGCGTCGGTTCAACATCGTATTTTCGTTGTATACGCCGAAGTCGCTTCACAGGTAGAAAATCGGCAGGGGGCGGGAATTAGAGCGGTACTTTACGGTAATATTAATTTTTGAATAAGTCGCTGTGTCATGCTGGCCGCTATGCATCTCTTCGCCTATGAGCACCCCCTATGAGCACCGGGCTGTGCAGCGGTGCAGGGCGCTAACGACGTGTACATGTATCTGATAGTTAGCAGCGCCCTGCACCACTGCACAGACAGCATCATTATCAACACTGCACTCTGCAGTGGCTCAGAGCGTCAACTAACTTATTCATGAGCTATGATGTCATTGAGGAGCAGCAGAGTAGTACCAGTACCAGGTCATAATACTAAAGCACTGTAGTACTAGCGGCAGTGATGACTTACAGCACAGTCGACTCGGTGAGGTCTGCCATCTCCTGGTCCTTGGCAGCATCTGCTGATGCTTGAAGTCGACGCTCCACCGTTGCCAACTCTAGGTCCTGCTCCAATTGTCGCTGTACACACACACACACACACACACACACACACACACACACACACACACACACACGCACGCACACACACATACGAGCAATGTTGAAACAATTGAATATTAAGGGCCATCCAAGATTATCAATTATTTTTCACGCGAAAAGTTTCGTGAGGGACGGGTGAGTTTTAGGAGTTTCGTTTTGAAATTATTCATCAAATGCACATGAAGAATGCCCAGCAACTACTGGGTGGTGAAGACTGAAATAAAATGTTTTTAAGAATGCGCCACAATTTTCTACTTTCGTTTTCATTTGCTGAGGGTTTTGCGGCATCTTCCTTCGCACAGTTGCTGTGCAATGAGTGGCCACTGGCCCTGCGTGTATCTGCCCGGCTTCACTGCAGGCATCCTTTCCGCCTCTCAGTCGTTCTTTTCTCCAGGGCACACACAGCACTACACTGACAACACTACGTGTTGTGGGCGTGCTCCTGTTTTCCTGTTATTTCCTGCACCAGTCCATCCAGTCCGGCATACCGGCATGTGTACATAGCTGTTCTTACTACTTAATGTCGCTACTGGTAGTTGTCTGCGTGCATTGGTATTTCATTAATCTTGCCTGAACAATACCTCTTTTGACAAAACAGGTTGGAAAGGTATATTTAAAACCCAGCGTTAGAGTGCTAAAAAAAGAATATAATTATAAGCCTGGAGTTTATAGTGGAGATGAAACGGTTGGTATTAATTTGCTTCTGGAGTATGGGTGATACCAAAACACACACACACACACACACACACACACACACACACACACACACACACACACAAAACACATACCTGCCGCAGTTGCACAGAGCGCATCTCCATTTGTACCTCACTCTCCCTGCGTTGCTGGTCAGCTTCAAGATCACTGCACTGCTCACGCAGGGACTTGACGGTCTGCGTGTACGCACTGCACGCTGCCTCGCTGTCTTGCAGCTTGCGACTAGTCTCCCGCAAGTGACTAGCGCTGGCCTAGTAAAGCAGCAGCAGCAGCAGCAGCAACAAGAAGTAACAGTGAAATTGATGCGCAGCTTGGAGTTGCGACATACATAAATTGATGCGCAGCTTGGAGTTATGACATACATGCATACTAAATATCTACACACCCGGTCTATTCAATGCCAGGTACAACAAACACATTGTATAAAACACATGGCATGATGTGTGCTGACTTGGTGACACAGCCGCCAAACCCACCTCAAGTTGTGACTGCAGTTCGGGTACAGTGCTTGCCGCTGACTGCGCTAGCAACAGCTGAGAGCGAATCTGATCTTCCTGTGCCTGTGCAAGGTCACGCTGTCGCCCGACCTGCCTCATCTGCTGCTCAACATCACCGCGCTGAGCAGTGAGCCGTGCCACCTCCGATGATAGCTGTAGTGTCTGTGTTTCCCGGTCGTGCAGACTGGTCAATGTCATGTCCAAATCAAGCTGTTCTCAGCCATTGCGAAAAGCAAGACATAAGCAGAAAGACAGAGAGACAGAAGCATCAGGGAGGGACTGGACATGTAAACAAGCAGAGAGGAAACAAGCTAGAAACCGCATCAGTGTAGAAAGAATACGATCGCTGTTAAAGCACTACTACTGCTGCTGCTGCCACATGTAGCAAGCAAACACAAATACTTGCAAGTACGTACCTGCAGTTTTTGCCGTGCAGCTTCAGCCTCGGTGACCTGCTGTTGCAGTAGCAGTATAGATACATTCTCTTCATTACGCTGCGCTGTTTGGTTGGCCACCTGCGAGTGGAGATCAGCATACAGCCTCTCGGCTTTCTCTTTCTCCTCCGATAGCTTTGCACTGTCATGCTCAGCCCTCCGCCGTTGCTCTTCCTCTTGTTTGAGCTGTGCCTGTAAGCTAGTGAACTGTCGATGTAGACGCTTCTCCTCCGATTGGCTGGAGGAGAGTTGCTGTGCAGCAGAGGCCTGAGCGGCATGCAAGTTGCCAAGCACCGTGTTCAGTTGCGCCTGACTGTCCTTGTAGTCAGCGCGCAGCTTCTCAGCCTCATGTGACAAGGCTTTGCTCTGACGTTCGCAGTCCTGGAGCTGGCGTTGCAACGTCGACACTACACCGTTCTGTTCACTCCAAGACAGCTGAAGGTCAGCGAGCTGCGATGAGGTCTTGCTTACCTGCGCCTCGGCATCTTCAGCCTTGTTGCGCCACAGCCGTAGTTCGTCAACCAGACCTGAGCGTTCAGCGGACGACTGCCGGTGCCGTTCGGTCTCGATGGTCTCACACTGGACTTGCAGCTCCTTCACGTTCACCTCCAGCTGAAGGCACTTAGAAGTGGTAGTGTTGAGATGTTCAGACTTTGCTTGAAGCTCCTGCTCTGTTGATGCTAACTTCTGTTCAGTTGATTCCAGGTCTTGACCAGTTGTCGCTAGTTGCTGCTGAGCCGTTGTCAACTGTTGCTGAGCTGTTGTCAGCTGTTGCTGAGCTGCTTCCTTAGATGTGTTAGCGGTATGTAGCTCAGCACGGACCGATGACAGTTCATTCTCCGAAATCAATCGCTCTGCCGCTGTTTCGTCGCATTCCTCCTGCTTGGTGTGTAGCTGACGTGTGACCTTGTCCAGTTGAGCTTGAAGACTGGACACCTGTTCAGCCTGGTCACTCAGTTTTTGTAGTGAATTTGCCATATCTTGCTCTAAGGTGTCCATGGACTGGAGTTGTGTGTGAAGTTCTACGTTACGTTGCTTCATAGCTTCCAGTTCAGTAAGCTGTGCACACAGGTCGGCATTCTGCTCTTCCAGTGACTGTACAGTGTGCTGAAGTGTTTCCAGTTCGCCGGCACTTTCATCGCGTGTCTCGGCCACGTCGGAGAGCTGCAGCTGAGACTCGCGCAGACTCTGCTGCATGCTGGACAGGTTCATGGACAGGCGCATGTTCTCCTCGAGTAGGGTGGCGCGCTTGCGATGCGCACTCTGTGCTACTTGGCATAGCTCTGAAACACTCTGTGACATCGACTCGTGTTCAGTGGGCATCTGGGGGTACTCGATGACATCTCCATTATCATCATTGTCGTCATCATCCGTATTCAAATGCTCTTTGACTTGGACAAGGAATGTGGCCACTGAAGACAAGGCAGCATTCAGCTTCTTGTCGACTTCGTTTGCAATGGTGGTCATGTCTTGCGACACATCACGGGCAATACTATCACCAGCGTTGGTTGCTACTGTTACGGACGCTTCCTCACTATCAGCAGTCAGAGGCTGGGGGTCTGGTTGGGCAGAAGTATCATCCTTGCTCGTTCGACGTGATTCACTAAGCAGTGCCATAAGATCAGTGTTTTCCACCGACAACGCCTCCACCTTCTCCAAAAGCTCCACGTTCTCCGCTGACAGCTGCTCGCATTTCTGCTTCAAGTCAGCCAGGCGGATTGGGCGATGAGACGCGACGTCAATGGATGTTGCCGCCTCCGGTAATGATGGTGCTGTCTGTTCCAGCTCTTGGATTCGGCTCAGTCGCTCCTCTAGTAGTTTCTCCCAATTTTGTCCAGTACTAGCAATGCCAGCATTGCCACCAGCAGCCTTACCACTACCCGCAGTGGCAGCCAATGACTGGCTGTCTGAGTGATGAGTGTGTTCCGAGTGCATCTTGTCCAGCCGCTGCTGCCATTGCTGGACCAACTCCTCCTGAAGAAAGACAACACGATTGCACCAACCGCCACCCACACATGCATACACGCACCCACACACATGCATACACGCACCCACACACATGCATACACGCACCCACGCACATGCATACACGCACCCACACACAAACACCCACGCACCCACACGCATGCCCCCCCCCCCCCCCCCCCACACACACGCACGCACATACACACACAATGCCAGACAAGGAAACAACCAGACTCCAGTCAATGAACTGTCCCAAAAAAACACACACACAAGTCAATCGCAGTACTCAGTACGGAGGACCTGCAGTTGATTTCAGATGTTGCAATGAACCATGCAGCACAGAGTTCAACTTGCACCAATAAAAATACGATTACCCCTTCGCCCATGCATCAATCACCACAGGTAAACGTACTACAGTAAAACGGGATTTTTCAGTGTAATATTTTCGGGAACTTCGGTACAGGTAATTTTTACCTAAAATAAAACGAGACCTAAAATTCAACCATGCCACACAGTGTGCAAAATGCATTTTCGGATCTGGAAAACGGGTGGTTTACCGAGCCGTTGATTTTGGGAATACTGACAATATGACACCAGCGAAAATTGCCGGTTTAACAGTACTCACTTTCTCTGCAGCATGCTGATGCTGCAATGAGGAGAGCTTCTTCTTGGCCTGTGCTTTCAGCTTCTCAAACTTCACCTCGGCCTTGGCGTTCAGGTCCTTGAGTGCTTGCTCTTTGGCCTCCAGTACCTTGCGCAACCTCTCAACTGCAAAGAGAGAAATAACAAATAAGCAACGTTGTAGCACAATGAATGAAGTAGTTATGAGGTGGATGAATATAAGGGATGCTCCCTAGGTGGATGAGGGGGGGGGGGGGGGGGGGATCGTACACCGGTTGGCTGCAATCTGTCCGCTTCAAATGTCGAAGAACAGCATCGCAGCGTACGTCGTTTTATTTTATTTTCATGTGCTGCAGTCCGTATGCGATTGAGCCGTTCTTCGGCACCCACCAGTACACATTGGTAACTTTGAAGAACACCTTTAAAAACTGTCACCGCGCATCTATGGGCATTCTGTGCCCGGTGAAAACCTAGTACAGTGCGTATGATCGTTCTTCGGCGCCCAGTAGTACTGTGATGCTATTTATTTAATGTTGTCACATGATGGGAATAAGACTATAAGAGCTTACAATGTAATGACAGTGAGAACAGAGACGGCCAGCGTTAAAAGAAACCAGCAGACAGCCCTTCGAGGGCGCGCAAATTGCCACCTGAGGCCAGCAAACTGCCCACCGTGGGCCGATATCATCTTGCCCGCTGAGGGCACACAAACGGCCATCGAGGCCAGCAAGTCGCCCACCGAGGGCTCAAAGACGAGAGCAACACCAGTTTGGAAAGACTGAAGAACATGTACTTGTTTTGTGTAGCCAAGGGGACATAGTGTGGCAGTGTGCGCTGCCAGTACATATACTATGATAGTGATAACAGCAGCCTAAAACTAACCTGTCTGATGAGGATCTGCGTCGTCGTCCACATCCACATCATCATCATGAACAGTGACGCTAGTCGACATCTGCGATGACAGGCCCAGCGGCGTCCACGAATCCGTCATCGCACCGGCGGGGCGCGTCGGTGTCGATGGCGGCTGTACGTCACGCCCTGCTGTGCCGCAGCTGCTGCTACCGCCACTAGTGATTGCAGAGTCCTGGTCACTTGCAACACTAGTTGCGGATGTGCTCAACTGCACTTTACCCCTTTGCTGCTGCTGCTGCTGCTGTCGTTCTATATCGGATTGGAGTGCTTTCACCTGCTCTACCTTACCGGATAATTCCTGCTGGAGCTGATCAGTTTGGATGCTAAATTCCTCTCTGAGCTGCTCCAACTGTAGCTGGAGTGCGCTCTGCTTCCGTTCGTGATCCTCAGTTAGCTCAGCAACAGTGCTGCTCTGCTGCGAGCTGAACTCCTTGCGCTCAGCCTCGAGGCCGCTGCGATCGACTTCAAGGCTATTGCGCTCAGCTTCGAGTCCGCTGCGATTGACTTCAAGGCTATTGCGCTCAGCTTCGAGTCCGCTGCGATCGACTTCAAGGCTATTGCGCTCTGCAGCAAGCCCGTTGCGATCGACTTCAAGGCTATTGCGCTCTGCCTCCAGCTGACCCCGCTCGGACTGGAGTTGACTGCGTGCCGCTTCAAATTCAGTACACTCGGACTGAAGTTGACTGCGTTCTTTTCCAAGTTGACCAAGCTCGGACTGAAGGTGACTGCGTTCAGCTTCAAGTTGACTGCGTTCAGATTGAAGCTGGACGTGGTCCGACTCCAGCTTATTGCGTTCAGAAAGAAGTTGGCTGCGGTTGGATTCAAGTTGATTGTGTTCAGATTCCAGCTTGCTTTGCTCAGTACGAAGCTGCTCTGCTAAGTCAGAAGAGTTGCTTGAAAGCTGCTCGTCACGAACTTGGATATCTGCTAAGAGCTTCGCAACCTGTACTTCCAGGTCGGACTTGTCACTGGTGATACTATCAATTTGTTCCGTCAGGGAGGCATGCTGCTGCTTCATCTCGGCAGTTAGCTGTTCGTTTCTGTCTTGCAGAGACTCTAGTTCATGGGCCTTCTCAGCCAGCTCTGTCTGAACTTGTTGCAGATCGTGGCCATCCACACTACTGCCGTTGGCCGTAGTGCTCATCTCCGCTTGTAGACTCATGATCTCAGCCTGGGAAGCCACATCCTGTTCTTCCAGCTCCTCAATTTCCTTCAGCTTCTCGGCGATTTTCTCTTCTAGCTGCTCAATACGGCTGTTCTGTGACGCATTCTCTGACGCAAGCTGCCCGGCATGCTGTTCTTTCTCAGTTATCTTCTGCTCCAGCTGGGATACAGCCGCACGCAGCTCAGTGGACACCTTCTCCCAGTCTCGTCGAGCTGCCGTGTGCTCTTGCTCGGCATCCTGCAGCTGCCTTGTGAGCTGGGCAACAGTCTCTTCAGCTTCACTAGTGGACGGACTGTTAGCAACAGTGGCAGTCATACTAGCATTCTTCTTCACCTCCTGCAAACACAACACAATACAGGATGAATACCGCATTTCCCCGATTATAAGTCGCACCTCCAATTTCAGGTCTGAGCCAAATTGTTTCAATACATTCACAGAAGTAGGAATTCACACTCGATTGTACGTCGCACCCCCTTCTTTGCCCTTGAGGTTTAGTATAAAAAGGTGTGACTTACATTCGTGGTAATACGATAATTGACATTGGTGCACTCTGGACATCGCCGGTATCGCCGGTAAGACGGTCAACCCAGTAGTAAGCAAGAGCTCAAGGCGCAAACAATGTACATGTACTCGTAGCTAACATATACTTAGCAGTATAAGTAGACATTTGACCATGCAAGTGGCTCACCTCCAGCTCCATCTGGAGTTCAGAGCCTCTCCGTGTTGATTCCTCCAAGCATGCCCTCAGGTTTTCTACTTCCTCGCCTGTCACTGACATCCCGCCATCGGGCGAATCCGTAGCGGGAAACTGCTTGAGCTGTTCTTGAAGAGATGAGACCTGCTCTTGGAGACCGGTGATCTTGGCCTTTGCCTGCTGCTTCAATCGAGTCAACTTCTGCTCAGACTTGCTCTCCAACTCCTAATAAGTGTATGTTTGAACACGCACAAAGACAGATAATCGATGCAAAGGAATAATCAGACGATTTGACACACACTGAAGCGGAAAGGTGGTTCTTGACCAGGGAGTTGTACGACTCCTTGTTCTTGACCTGCCCGGTACGCGAACCCGTCGAATATTTTTTTACACACCCTGGACACAAGTATTAGAGTACAGGCCTTGTTCCTTGACGTAAGCAATGCCCTCACAAGACGAAGTATTGGGCACGCATGGAAATACACTACACACCTTGGCAAGATTCACTGCACTAAAGGAGAAGGCGCCGGGCCAAATCCACAACAAACGGCACATTGCACACCATAACACATCGCACGCCATGGCACCCTACCTGCAATCGCTCCTCTTTCTCGCTGAGCGCTTGGCGCAGCTCTTCAGTTTCTGCAAATCACACCAAACAAGCATACAGATAGACTGAACTGGCTCCAGCAAAGTAAAAACCCGTACCGTACATGCACGTGATCACTAGCGTACTATACATGTATAACCAAGGTAAACTGATTGGTATATAGAGGTTATGTGATTACATCATCACTGATGACTGATGAGGTTATGTGATGACATCATCACTGAAGACTGATTGCACATGACATGTTGTGACTGGCAGTGTCTGGCACAGGGTGTGTCAAGTAGACAAGAGGCATTTACAACACAGACATGAGTGTTACCGGTGGCATTGCTGCTAGTAGTGGCGGCGGCGGCACTCGTGATGGCATCAGGCACCACGCCAGATTCCGATGACTCTTTCAGAGCTTGAATTTCTTTCTACACGGGGAAAAACGGAGCAAGCCATACACTATAGATTGATCGGCAGGAAAGATGATTTCGATCTACAAAGAAAAGCTTACCCTGAGCACATTCTAAGCTAACCACTGCATAGATGAGGATTGAGGACTTGCCAGTTCTCGCGTTCCACAAAACCTTCCTCAACTCACTGTTTACTTCAAAGAAAAACAGTGTGTGGGCAGGCCCACCGGAACCGGTCCGGTTGGTCAAGTCATCACCGGACCAACTTGTTGGCCACTAACGCATGTTTACTGCTGAGGGAGCAGCTGTGTACCCACTATACATACACAAACTGTATGAAAGGCTATGGGATGGCCGGACCAATCAAAAACTGCGTCCGGCGGTCCTGTGTGGGCAGAGTGAGGGCTGCGTCCCACCTGCCTGTGTAGTGTCACAGGAAGCGTGAGCTACGAAGTCTGAAGAAAATGTTGAACGGCCTCTGCTGGGATGACAGCTACACCATAGATCAGTGGTAAGAGCATCGCTGGCCTCAAGCAAAGGTCCCTGGTTCGAGTCCTGGTGGTGAGAGTCAATTTTTTCTTCAGATTTTTCTTTTTCCATTCCCTCAACTGATAATTTGTTTACACCCACACCCACACACACATGCACGCACGCACACACACATACACACACACACACACACACACACGCACACACACACACACACACACACACACATCACTCCAACATTCCTGTACTCCTGTATCTCTATGCAGCATGAAGACCTGCCAGATCTTGCTGATCCAATGGTTTCTTTATCAACCGGTAAGAATCAATTGAAGGAATTATTTTAGTTACCGTTAAAGATCTTGCTGATCCAATGGTTTCTTTATCAACCGGTAAGAATCAATTGAAGGAATTATTTTAGTTACCGTTAAGACTATGCAGTACAACAAACCACTATTTTCGATTATCCGGCTCTTTCGCCTACCCGGCTCTTTCGCCTACCCGGATATGTTTCGTGAAAACAAAACGCATGCGGGGTTAAGGTACTCAGTAGCTGGAACTAAATCAGCTTTGCAAATTGGCCCGAAATGTTTGGGATGTGAAGTATGCAGTGTCTTCAGTGTGCCATGTAGAGATGAAATGGCCAAAAAAGTAGTTGGTCACCATCAATATTGTGGAGTAATGAGCACCCCAAAATTGGACATTTTCAGGATTTTTGCTCAAATTACCACTTATTTTGCTCAAAACGGGCCATTATGAGAAATTGGTGCGAATTTTTCGCCATCATTGCAGCATAGAGAGCTGGGAGCTGAAATGTCGGAGTGGAGTTTGCAGTGTGAATGATGCTGGCATATGATGGGCCAGCGCAAAGCAGCCTAAACAAAATGCATCTCCCACGTACGTCTTTTTGTCTAAGCAGCAGAGAAAATTCCTCGTTGATCAGCCGATTGCGATTCTCTGATTGCTCCAAAGCCTCTTGAAGATCTTCAAACCTCCCAGTCTGAGAAGAAAAGAAGAAAAAAAGATGAATGGGAACTAAATTCTTGAATTGTCATGCAATGTAAAGATGATCCTACTTCGAAGTAAGATTTGAACTCCTGCCCCATAGACATAGTCTAGACACATAGACACATAACAGACTCCCACACTGGGTCACTGCTACTTCACTGTATACACTGTAGTATTCAAATCATGGATTGGGCCCACATGGGGACACACGCAGCACGGAGATAGTCGTCTGGATCATGCTGGCTATGCTCACGCACCTTCTCAGGTGTCGCTCCTTGCGCTTTTTCTTGTTGGACATCATCAGGGGCTGCGGCTGACCCCGAGGTGGCAGTGCTGTCGGTTGCTCCTTCGTCCGGCGTAGCAACACCAGCAGCTTCAACATACGTGTCGAGCTGGTTTTGCACGACTTGCAAACCTTTATTGAGACGACCCCACATGTCCATGGCGAACGAGGAGTACTCTCCGTCACGAAAACATCAGTCAAAGTCTAAGGCACAAAATCGAATATTGCTTGGCAACGACGACTAAGATTACTGAAAAGTGGCGAAGCTTCTGCCTCAGCTTAGCAAATCAACACACACATCCTTTGCAACATTCCCTTCCTACTCCTACTCGAGTCCTAGCTTTCAAGTGTCTCACACATAATCACTAGGACATTCAGCTTGTGGCTCAGCTGCAGTGTGTCTTGTCTTTACTCTTTCTCCAATCTTGATTTGAGACTTGAAGTATTAGTTAGTTGAAGCAAGTACATGTACTGAGCACTGTGACTAGTTTGAGTACGAGCAAGAGTACATAAACCTGGTTTATGTACTCTTGGTACGAGTATGTGTATGTGCCTGATCAGCACTGCATTTGCGCGTACACATAATTATGTACATACTGTCTGTGCAACTACCTCATCGATTACTCATCCCCAAGTCACGTTCGCATAAGTGATCACTGATCACTGATCAGTGATCAGGTGATCACATCATTCACATGTCCGTTGTCGACTTGATCGAACAAGCGCTACACTGCCTAGCGCCTACACTGTACTACTACTAGTACAGTCGATCCCCTGGGCCTGGGGCCTGTGCCTAGCGCCTGTGCTCTGATCTGCCTCATAAAAATACTCCGGCTCGACTTGTACTTGTGGATCTAGCCGGCCATCGACAACAAGCGGCCAAGCCCTCGTGTCGAGTCGAGTGGCTTGCAACATCATGGGAGGTGTTTGTTTGTTTCCTTGTGTTGAATCTTCGCACCTTCAAGAGTCGTACCCAAACCTGGTTACAAGCTAGCGAGCCTCCCCATCCAGAACAGGTGCAGTCCCAACCAAACGGGCTGTTCTGGTGAATCCTGTTCTAGGTTCTACCAACCAAACGCGCCTTTTAAGTTTTACTTGGTCTGGGTCCTACCCGCTCAGTGCCCACTGAGTCCGAGGCTGTGGCACACCCAGCATACAGACCCCGAACCCGCGGCGTCTACCATGGTCATGTAGCTTCATTTTGACGATGACACTGACACCATCATTAGTGGTTACTGTCAATTTTCATTTTCGTTATGTACTACATGTAGTACTACTAGTACATTGTAAATAATTTTGTACTTGTAGATCTACATGTACATGTGGACAACTGCGAGGAGGCCCCTTTCGGTACCCCTGACGGGAAGGAGAACTGCTAGAAGTCGACGAAGTCGAACGAGGAGGTCCCTTTTCCGTACCCCATACTGCAAAGTGCCATTGATGGATACCTTTTGCACCTAGACATTTGCGAAAGTCGTGAACGATCCCTCGATTTCTGATAGTGCACCTTGCATGCCCCACGGCCCTCTACCTGAATACTCATTAGCTCAGTTTTCATCAGTCAGTGTTCCGGAAGTGCAATACTACATCCAACGCATGAAAAGCCGTAAAGCCACCGGACCAGACAATGTTCCAGTTGCTGCTTACAAGTTAATCAACGATGAGATCGCTCCCTCACTATCCAAGTTGTTATCTGAATCTCTGACGTCTGGTGAATTCCCAGCTCCGTACAAGTCAGCCCATGTTCGCCCCATCCACAAGCGCGGTGATAGGTCGGTCTCCTCCAACTACAGACCAATATCACTGCTCCCCCATATGTCAAAGTTACTTGAGCACATAGTGCATGATCAACTCATACGCTACATCCAGAATGCACCACCCGCACTGCAACATCTCCCTGCAGAGCAATTCGCCTACCGCAGAGGCCACTCCTGCGAAGACTTGCTGACTTGTGTTACCAACGATTGGATGCTTGCCTTGGACAAGGGTGACTACGTAGTGGCTGCCTTCCTTGATATGTCAAAGGCCTTTGACACTGTCAACCACAACATGTTACTTCAAGAACTACTTGAGATTGGTATTGGCGGAGTCGCTCTGCAATGGTTTCACAGCTACCTTACAAACAGACAACAGTGCGTGGTCACTAAGACTCGGGCAACCATACACAAGCAACAGAGGCGTTCCACAAGGCTCTGTTTTAGGGCCGTTTCTATTTAACTTGTCCGTGAGGAAACTCCCCGCTGTGCCCAAACACTGCAAAGCCCGTCAATACGCAGATGATGTGTCTTTATACAGGGCGGGGAAGAATGTCCAGAACTTATGCAAAGACCTCACAGAGGACATCATCAAAGTAAAGGAATTCTTGGCAACGAGAGGTCTTATGTTGAACTCCTCGAAAACCCAGCTTGTTGTGTTCAGGCCAAAGTCGAAACCTCTTGACCCCGATGTCAACGTTCAGATTGAAGATGTCACCATCACCCCTAGTGCACACGTGAAATACCTCGGTATAGTTCTTGACGAACATCTCTCCTTTGGAGTTCACATTGCACAATTAGAACGTAAAATAGGCTGTAAGTTAGGAATGTTTAGAAAGGTCCGAGACCATTTAACGATCGATGCTAAGAGGGCTTTCTACATCTGTTCCATTCAGTCCATACTTGAGTATGGGTCTAATTCCTTTGCTCACTGCCTTTCTGCCTCCCTCCATGACCGTGTTGTCCGACTTAGTAATAGAGCGCTGCGTATTGTATTTTGCATGCCCCGCCTATCTGATGTCTCCCTTGTTCTTGCCCGCTACCATATCATTCCCTTGTCTGTCAGGTACCAATTCAAGCTGTACGTTCTAACGTACCGTGCGCTTCATGATCTGGCTAGTGTCTTTGTTGCTAACTGTTTCTGTCTCCGCTCTAATTCTACCTGCACTAGTTCTCGCACCCGCTCTCAAGTGTCCTCTTCCCTTGCTCTTCCGACAGCCAAACGTCGCTATGGTTTATTTTCTGTCACTTTCCTTGGCTCTGACCGCTGGAATGCCCTCCCAGCGGAGGTCCGCTCAAGTTCTTCCTTGCATACCTTCCGTAATTCTGTTCTTCATTTTTTAGGGTACCCTGTCAAAAGGCCTTAGGCCTGTGGGGATTGCCCTATCAAAAATTTAATAATAATAATAATAATAATAATAACATGTAAGCACAAGGAATCGGCAACCCTCTAATCAAGAGTACTGTACATAACCTACTCTTGCTTTTAAAGTGCACGTGCATGTATCTTGCGAAAGAATTATAATAATTATACACTCTCTCTTGTGTAATAATTATAACTATCATTTTGCTAGCAGATCACGACCCAGGACATACGGCAGACTACAACATGATGGTGTAGTGAGTGCGAGCAGTGGAGATATGAGATACATAATGCGCAGGCTAGTTTGTGTGTTTCTGAACATTCAAGCGATATGCCGATGCTACCACAGTGCCCGTATGATTATGCCATTGCACGATAATCGGGGTCTACCATCCACTGATGATGCTGTTGAGTGGTGTCTGACGATGATCGCCTACTGCCAGTACTGGTGCGTGAAACCCAGTCCCAGAGCCACAATGCTTTCTCTCTCTCCTCGCCTTCTTCTTGTCGCGTAGCTTTCGGGGCGGTCCGATCGTTAGAACAGGCCGCAGACGGAGCGACTGAGTATGCTAGCACAACTACATGTAGCGGCATGAGCTACTATAGTAACTATTACAAGTATAATTATTACTAGATCTACATGTATGAAGAAACAAGACCCTTGCGATCAGCTGCATGACATTGTGTGACAGCAGATGTTAGCATCCGGAATTTCCCAAGCAGAACATCCAGGTCACAGCCAATGCCTGTAGCACAATCACGACAAAGCCTGAAACTACGCGTGCGCCCATCATCTGTCCAGAGTTTTGACCGCAGAATGCCGGTGATCACTGGGTCCGTGTGTGTGCGTGTGTGTGTGTGTGTGTGTGTGTGTGTATGTGTGTGTGTGTGTGTGTGTGTATGTGTGTGTGTGTGTCCCATATGGTGCAGTGGTATGTGCAGCGATTTCCAATCGATAGGTTGCGGGTTCGAGTCCCGACGATTATGGTCACACACGTCTTTCTTCTCTTTCTCAGACTCTTCCTGACTTTTCTTTCATTCTCCTGGGTGGTTACCAACAGCCAGTGCATGCCGGAGTATGTGGTGTGATGTGTGTGCGGGAAAAAAAATGAATAGACCAAAAATAGGGATTCACTGGCCAGAAAAATCACTTCAAATAGCTGTATGGTGTAGACCAGGCTGAATAGTGACGGTCAATTCTTCAGCCTTGCAAGCTGTTGAATGGTGCAATCCCAGCACAAGTTGCTATGGCTTCTGCCGTAGCATTGCCAGGGCCGGCGGAACCGGTCAGGCTGGTCCGGCCATGGCCGGACCACTTTCCCAGCTGGATGGTCCATGTGATTCGTGCAAAACCGGTGTAAAAAAACCCAGAGGTACATGACTCGACTGCCGACGTGTGATGTGCTTCGAAGTAGCTCAGGACTCCGTGACCGGCACTGTATGGCTGATATGGATCAAAAAAAAGTTGTGTTTGTGTTCTTTTACTATAATTTTCTGCATTTTCTGGAGGCTTAGAGATGCCCAAATTCGCTCTATTTCACGTAAATTTTAAATATTTCTCCCGGGGGAGGTCCCCCGGACCCCCCCCCCCCCTCAAAGGTCCGCCGGACCACTCCCAAACTCCTTCCTCCGGCCCTGATTGCTATCATCGCCTCCGGCGATGGGCGTCAAAGGTCAAAGGTCAAGGTGTGTGTGTGTGTGTGTGTGTGTGTGTGTGTGTGTGTGTGTGTGTGTGTGTGTGTGTGTGTGTGTGTGTGTGCCCACACCATTGTCACGCATGGTGCAGCAGAGACGGTTGGAGTGGCTTGGGCACCTGGCTCGTCTTGATGACACCCGAGTACCGAAGCAGTTGCTGTTTGCCTGTCTCCCTCAGTCCCGGCCATTCTGTGGACCTCGTCACGCAAGGCGTCGCTGGAAAGACACCATCCACACGGACCTATCCGTGGCTGGAGTGCGTAACTGGTTTGAGTTGGCAAGCGATCGTGGGGAGTGGCGTGGAGTGGTGACAGCAGCAGGTGAGGACAAGAAACCTGCCCCGAAGAGCATTGAGTGCCCAACTTGCAACCGTCTGTTCCGCCGTAGTTCCGACATGGCCCGGCACAAGTGTTCAACAGTCCGTCAGCTCCCGGTATCGGAGCAGCCTGGGTCAGTACAGTGTCCAACCTGCAACCGATGGCTACGTAGCAGAGGAGGCTTTGCGGTGCATAAGTGTCAGCTAGGCGATGACGACCAGCCGCCGGCCCCTGCCCCTGCTCCTCTTGTTGTACCGGGTGTAACTTGCACAACCTGCCAGCGTTCGTTTAAATCGGCTGCGGGTCTCAAGCGTCACCGCTGGCTGTGGAACC